CGGACCATAGGACCTCGGCCTGGTCGCTTGTAATGCCTAGACACTCGCAGATCCACTCGGCTTGCGTGTCTGGAAGAAACGGCGGGGCTGAACTTTCGGTATCAACATCCGAGGGGTAGGCAAGGGCAATCTCGTCGCGAATGAGACTGCATATATTAACGAAGAGCTGAATTTGATCCGTTGTTATAGGAAGTAGGTGTGGATATGTTTCAAGAACAGATGGAATTAATGATATGTCGAGACTCATGACAGCGGAATAGATATACGGCGTGTAGGGATATAACAGACGTTAATCTAATCTAAGCGCGGCGGCGAGGCGACGCGCGGCAGTCACATCGTGGGATTTTTGTTTTAGCACCGCCACTGACGCCGCGCCGCCCAGCCTGCCGCCGCGACTTGCCGCCTTTCCCAGATCTCGGACTTTCTGGGAGCTTGTCGCTATGTACGCTCTCCGGTTCCTGAAATCCACCACTGCAAGGGCTGATGCTATGTTTCTCCTGCAGCGCTGCATCCGAGACGGAGAACCCGCGCCGCAACATCTCGAAGGCCGTCCGCCGGGTGTTCTATCGCATCCTAATTTTCTACATTCTCGGAATCTTCTTCACGGGCCTCCTCGTCCCATACAACGATCCGGCTCTCCTCCAGTGTGCGCCCACCTTCACTTTCATGTCTTTCTCATCCGTCTTACCAGGCATGTAGCGGCCGGTACTGCCGCCCAGTCACCCTATGTCATCGCCATGACAAACGCAGGCATCAAGGTCCTGCCTAGCATCATCAACGCCGGTGTCCTTACCAGTGCCTTCTCCGCCGCGAACTCGTTCCTGTTCTGCTCGTCGCGTATTCTCTATGGTCTAGCGCTCCGCAAGCAGGCACCACGCATCTTCGCCAAGTGCACGAAGAAGGGTCTGCCCATCGTCGCTGTGCTGACGTCCAGCTGCTTCGCCTTTCTCGCCTTCATGGGTGTTTCGGCTGGTGCTGAGACCGTTTTCAAGTGAGTAGATGCATGCTGATAAGTGGGCTGGTGGCTGATGTTAATCTCGTGTAGCTGGTTCGTTAGCTTGTCGACCGTCGGTGGTTTCTTCTCGTGGGGTTCCATCAACTTGACCTATCTCTTCTTCTGTGTGTACTTCTTTCGCCGTCGCCTGTCCACTTATATCTAATATGTGGGCTTCTAGACCGCGGTATGAAGGCCCAAGGCATCGACCGCAAGCAGATGGAATACTGGAATCCACTCCAGCCCTATCTTTCTATCTGGGGTGTGGTCTGGTGCATTATCCTCATCCTCATCAACGGCTTCGAGGTGTTCTGGTCGTTTAATGCTTCTGACTTTTTCACCGCATGTACGTGTATTTTCAGTTTTGTGAAATCGCCTTCACTGTTGGCTGACGCTGATACCCTTCGGTGCAGACATCAACATTCCCTTCTTCGCCATCCTTTACTTAGGCTGGAAATTCTACAAAAAGACCAAAGTCTGGAAACCCGAGGATATGGACTTTTTCACCGGCATTCCGACGGTCGAAGAGACCGAGGGTCCCATCGCTCCGCCAAAGAACATGATGGAAAAGATTGCCAATAAGGTGTTCTAACCATTTTCGCATTATGTGATTAGCGTAGTCCACTTCTCTATCTCTCTTATGTTCGGGTTTTCGGTCTGCTTAATGTAATATTGACGATACCTACTTAGTGTACATGATCAATACCATTCATTTCACGACTTGCTTGACGACATATTCGTACTTCAAAGTTTGACTCGTGATTCTTATTTTGGAATTAAAACATCCGGCCGCCTGTGAGAGCAAAGTGCCGTCCGCCGGAGAAAATCCGGAAATCTGATATGAGCTCTACAGTCGCCCACGGAGAACCGGCTCATCCTCCCCACAATCAACGATGGCAACGGAACCACTGCAGACTGTAATTATCGAGGCCAAGAAGGAGCACACGGCCACCGTAATCCTCATACACGTTCGTAGCAGCCAACAACCAGTCGTATTCATGAACCGTTCTTACAGGATCCACTGCGCCGTGTAGGGCTTGACCGGGAAGCCCCTGAAGGACGACGAAAAGGAGGGCGACTTCGACTGCGTGCCCAACTACCTTAGAAACCAGAGCTCTCTCGACCACATCAGATGGGTGTTTCCCATCGGTCCCAAGCGGCTGATTACCAGGGACAACGACGGGATCCTGAAGACTGCGTGGTTCGATATCACGAAGAACTTGGCCGATGGCAGGACGGAGGCCGATGAAGATGTCAATGGCCTCCTCACTTCTGTGCGACAGCTAGACGGTATTGTTGCGAAGGAGGTGGAGGCGGGTGTCAAGCCGGAGCGTATCGTCATCGGCGGTTTCTCGCAGGGTGCGGTCATGGCGCTCCTCACGGGCCTTACAGGAACAGGATCGCGGACGCCGGAGGAGGAGGGGCGCGAGAATGAGAGCAAATGGAGCTTAGGAGGAGTCCTGGCGCTTGATGGATACATCCCTATTATAAGTCGCTTTATCAAGGTGCGTCTCTGTCCATCTCTACTCTCTCCCAACCCTTGAGCACACCTGTCCTTCTTCCTAGTACCTAGCCCCGAACGCGCGCGACACCCCACTATTTTGGGGACACGGTATTGAAGACACTATCGTACCGTATGAAGACGCAGGCGTAGCTTCTGTGCATGGCCTCAGTCGCCTCTACACGCGCCCCAACCCACCATCTTCCGCGCCTCCTCCACCCGTGCCGATAGGCGAGTTCGACCATCCCAACGCTCCACTTTACGTTGCAATTGCTGCAGACACTAAAATGGTACCACGAGGTGAGGGAGGGGGATGGATCGAGTTCCACTCGTTCGCGGGTGTTGCACACGAGATTCCAGAGTACGAGTTACCTTTTATCCAGCGTTGGCTAGAGCGCGTGGTTCCGTCAAGCTACTAGGATACGTCGTTCAAGTTTGCGAGAGATTTTCATATTGTCGGAATAAGCCCTGAAATCGTGAGCAATAGCCTCGTATTACCCACTCCCAGATCCTAAGCACCGTCCCTCACAAATTCGCCAATATGTAGGCCAACGATTGATACGAGTAGTAGTAGAAGACATACATAATGATCGTCGGATCGTCCAAGAGTCCCTAACGATTGCATCTGAAATTTGATAGTCGTATACTTCCAAGAGTCGTTTTCCTCAAGATGATCAAGTCAGGATCGCACGCCGATACATTGATGACATTACCCAAATGAAAGGGACCCATACGGATCTATAGCATCGTGACGTTACGGTGTAACATATGCAACAGATGCACGAAGTCGGTCAAGAATGGTAAATAATCCGCCCGATCTCCTTGCAATGACGTTCTCAACAAGATCAACTCGTACGTTCGACCCGCACACAGCAACGCATGCAAGTATCGTACCCTGTTGAAAGACCTTCAGACACCCACGTTTGGGTGAGTAAAGTATAGCACCAATATTGAGGATAACTCATGTTTGGAACACTAGAAAGCCTCGAGTTCAAGTCCGAGCCACCAGCGCACCGACTCACCGGATTAATGCGTCCCGAAATCTGCCACCAGATCGCAGCTTCTTCCGCTCCATCTCTCGGAGTTCCGTTATCGGGAACATCGTCGTCTTAAAGCGTTTCGAGGGAGAAAAATAAAGTCTATTTGGTTCATCGTACTATGGTAAAGAGAACCGAGACAAGAAGAGAAGACGGTATGGTAGTACACCGGGTGAGTTGTGACTTTTGGTTGCCGAGAATCCCCTGACCATTACTTCAATGTAAAATCAGCCGTGAGGCAGCGCTTAAGGATCGATCCGAAGATGGGATAAGATTCGTTGCGATGCGTCATCTGGCGATGATTTACGTGCCCTGACCCGAAGTCGAAGGCAAAGGGCTTATAGACAGCCTCGGACTCAGGCGTCCACGTAGCATCCTCGTCTCGGATATTGCAACCCTCCATAGTACCCTCATGCCCCCCTGCCCCCTTCTCCCTAGGTGTCTCCCAGCTTGGAGACGCCGTCTACGCCCACCCTCTCCGTTCCGCTGGATGAAGGAGAATGGCCAGAGCTATACCTCACCTGTAGCGAATTGGTAACCTCCGTGGCCTCCGATCCTATCTGGTGTTTATGGTTCTGTTTAGTCGTCCTCTTCATCAAGGACGAGCTGTATCGCTTCTTGAAAGGGCATGGAAGCACCGGCAACATGTGAACGGAGGTATCGCTGATACTGCGTTCCAGTGACTTGACGGACGCTTAATATACCTTACAACCCACGCGTAACAAGAATAATCTTCAGAGAAATGTCACATTCAAAGAAGCTAATGTATGATACAAGTTTGGGGCTATGCGAAGGGAAAGTTATGAATCATGCAGTCTAATCATCAGCCGCCGTACATCGATCATGCGTTATACCGCCGCTTAAGCGTACAAGTCGTCGTCCTGGGTGTCGTCCGCGAAGCCCGCGTTGCCCGACGGAGCGGGGGCGTTGCCGCCGGCGCCAGGCTGACCCTCGCCCTCGGGGAAGCGGAAGTTGTTGCCGAATCCACGGGATTGTTGCAGATTCTGAAGAAAAAAAACCCTGTCAGCACCACGCACCACAACCTCACAGCAAATGAGAATAAACATACCTGCGAGAACATTTCGTACCGCCTGATATCCTGATCCGACACCGACCGTCTCGCATACTTCATCGCCTCCTCGAAATGCTCCCTCGTGATCTCGGGCACGGGGTCCTCCTCCTCGACGTCCTCTTCCATCTTCGCATCCCCGCCCTCGGCAGCCTCCTCCTTCTCGCGTTTCTCACGCAGCCGCCGGATGTCCGACTCGATACTCTCCCGGATCGCGAGCTTCGCTGCACGCTGGCAGATCTCTGTCAGATCTGCACCCGAGAAGCCGTGCGTCTGCTTCGCGAGGAACTCCAGGTTCACCTCGGGCGCTATCGGCGACTTCTTGAGGCACGCCTTGAGGATCTGCAGGCGCGAGCTGTCGTCCGGCAACGGGATGTAGATCAACTGGTCCAGACGGCCCGGACGGAGGAGGGCAGAGTCGATCTGGTCGGGACGGTTGGTCGCGCCAATAATGAACACGTTCTTCTTCGAGTTCATGCCGTCCATCTCCGTCAATATCTGGTTGAGCACACGGTCGCCCGCACCGCCGGCATCACCCGATGAGCCACCACGGGCCTTAGCGATCGAGTCCAACTCGTCGAAGAACATCACGCATGGTGCGGCGGCGCGAGCCTTGTCGAAAACGTCACGGACGTTGGCCTCGGATTCACCGAACCACATGGTGAGGAGTTCAGGGCCCTATAAAACGTACTTCATCAGCGACTGATGGTAAGAGCGGGTTTAGTGGGCTACTAACCTTGATACTGATGAAGTTGGCATTGCACTCATTGGCGATAGCCTTCGCCAATAGCGTCTTACCCGTACCCGGGGGACCGTAGAACAAAACACCCTTCGAGGGCGCCATACCGTACTTGAGGAACTTCTCGGGGTGGTCGACGGGGTATTGCACGGTCTCCTGGAGCTCGAGCTTGACTTTCTCGAGACCACCAATATCGTCCCACGTAACGGTGGGCACCTCGACGACGGTCTCGCGGAGCGCAGACGGGTTGGACGTGCCAAGTGCGAACCGGAAGTTCTCCATCGTGACACCGAGCGAGTCGAGCACCTCCGCGTCAATGGTGTCCTCGTCCAGGTCGATGAGGTCCATCTTCTCACGGATCTGCTGCATGGCAGCTTCTGAGCAAAGGGCAGCAACATCGGAGCCGACGTAGCCGTGGGTATCGGCAGCGATCTGCTCAAGGTCGACATCGTCGGCAAGCTTCATGTTCTTCGTGTGAATACGAAGAATCTCGAGACGGCCGGTGGGGTCCGGGATACCGATGTCGACTTCACGGTCGAAGCGACCGAAGCGACGGAGGGCGGGGTCAATGGAGTTGGGACGGTTGGTGGCAGCCATGACGACGACGTTCGAGCGGGCTTTGAGACCATCCATGAGGGTGAGCAACTGCGAGACGACACGACGCTCGACTTCTCCGTTCGTCTGTGCATATAGTGAGCATCGTCCGCCGCTGATGTAACGGCTCGCGTACCTTTTCACGCTTGGGCGCGATTGAATCAATTTCATCAATGAAGATGATAGCGGGTGAATTCTTCTCCGCCTCCTCAAACGCCTTTCGCAAGTTACTCTCACTCTCACCCGCCATCTTGCTCATGATCTCCGGACCGTTGATCAAGAAGAAGAACGCGCCAGTCTCGTTCGCGACGGCTCGAGCCATGAGCGTCTTACCGGTACCGGGCGGGCCGTACATGAGGATACCTCGCGGGGGCTTGATACCAATGGACTTGAAGAGCTGAGGATGGCGGAGGGGAAGCTCGACGAGCTCGCGAATCTGGGCCATCTGCTTGCGGCAGCCACCGATGTCGTCGTAACCCACGTCAGCGAGATTGGCCTCCTCGTCTTCGCGCTTTACTGGGTCACCCTCTGAAAAGTCGACATCAGCGAAAAGTGGAAAATAAAAATTTGGACGCGATCGCGCGTACCAGTGTGAATAACGGTGTCCTGGGCAACAATACAAAACTCAGCGGGATCGGTCTCGATGACCTTGAACTCCACCGTCCGCATGCCACCACGAACAAGGAAAGTGTCGCCTTTGCGCACTGGGCGGTATGCTACACCCCAAATTAACATCGGCTCGCTCAATCGGCTCGGGAACGCGCTCACCTTCAAGGAAGTAGGGCTTGAGGTAGACATCGAAGATATTGCCGCTGAGACCCTCGATCGAGTCGTCGAAGGGGAGGACGTGGATACGCTTGCCGTACTTGATGTCGAGGCATTGGTGAACGCTGACAAGATCGGCGAGCTTGACGCGGAGGTTGTTGCGCGCGACCTTGTTCATCTGGATGCGGCCCTCCTCGACTTCATCTGAACTTAAGCAGATGAGGACGGTGTCTCTTCGCTTCTTTCCTCTGCTCGCTATATGTAAGCATACGGGAAGGGGGATCTGCCACAGGGACGCACTTTACAATGATCGTGTCGCCACGGAAGAGATTAAGAGTCTCCATCGTTGCGGGGTTCAGGGTCGCCACTACGATCCATCTCGTAAGCATCGGACAACGTCGATTGAAGGCATATACGCGTACCAGAGTTATCATCCGATGACGCCTCGTCAACCACCAGACGGTTGGGCCTAGAGTATAGGTGTTAGCGTGTGTCCACCTAGCAAGATATGAAGCGATACGTACGACTTCTTTGGGCGTAGGATGGCAGTGGAAATATCATTTGGGCCTGGTTGGGGAGCAGCACCGCTGGGATCAGCCATGATTATGTGGATGGATGGAGGTGAAGAAAGAGAAGATGTCGAGTGTAGTCGCAACTCGCAAGTCAAGAGGAGGACGCGCGGCCTGCACTCGCTTGCTGTTCACTCCTAAAATGGCAACTCCACGTGGCCATAAAAGTTCGGGGTCCTTCGACAACTTTCCAAAATTGACTTTGACAAAGCCGTTTGTCTTACAATTTCCGATTACAGTGAGTGAAATTGGTCAACTAATTTCCAGGAATTGGTCATTGAGATAATATACGGGTTTAAATGGACGCGTCGCCTTCACCAAGGGTTGGGCACAAATAGTCTCGTACATTACATTTCCTCGTCGTCAAAGTTGATCTCCTCCACGGGGAAATCCCCAACATTGACGCGATCTGGACGAACAAACGCCCCATGACTAGGTAGGCAAGTGAAGTACCGCTCTCCCTGGACGCTGCGACACGCGAGTTAGCTAGTCTTTCGAAAAGCTAGAACCCAGAGAGGACGCACGATCCGTCGTTCTTGCCAATGGGCTCATCATACTCCACCCCAATCCACACGCCCGTCTTCGCAAAGTTCGTCGGGCCCACAAAACGCACAGTCCCCCGCTTCTTGAAGTCTTCCTCCGTGGATTCGACTTCGCACCGCGAGCCAACAGTAACATCGAGTTTAGGGATCGGTTGAGGTGACGCGTCCTCCTCGGCGAAGCGGCCGACCTTGTGTCGCATCTTATAGGCTAGCACAGAGTCTATGTGCGACGACTTAGGGAGCGAGTTTAGTTTTGGCAGTCGACGTACCTTGCCGCTTAGCATACTCTTCATTACTCAACTCGAACTTCTCCACTTGCGACACATCCGTCAGCTGCCCAGTGAACGATGTCGATGGGTTCGTGTCCACGACCTGTAGCGCATCATGAATCCGCTCGCGTCCCTGACAGAAATTCAAGAGGATCTACCTTGAGCGTTTGGAATTCCCGCAGGGAGTAGAACCCAAGCGGCCGGCTGTCCTCGGACATGTGCGCGACGGCTTGCGCGTCATCCTCGCTGTTAAACACTGATATCTGCTGATTCGCGACAGGGATACCGGTGATCATTTCGAGCTTGCTCTACATGATTGCGGTGATGGCGCGAAGAAGGGTGATCAAGTGCGCGTTTCAGCCCATGAGATCAGAGATCGCGATGGAGGACGCAACCTTGAGCTGCCCGACGGTGAGGTGGAGGTCATAGCGCCGCTCTGAGCGCGTGTCTGGGGATACGACAAAGACTGAAACGGAATTAGACATGTCTGAGTATCTTTTTGAGTGAAATTTGTTCTGCGATGATGCTGTGGGCACTGGACGAGATTCACAGCAGGTGGAGCAAGCTCGTGTGAAAACGAGCTTCACACGCATTCTAGATAGGGGCTAAAGTGCACAGCCACGCGCATGCAGCCTCTCACGTTGACGAAGACAGATAATCAGACCTTTGATACCTTGGTCTATGCGGCTGCAAGATAGCGGCTCAAATTTTGAATAATGTAGGTTACTACGGCTGGTAGGCCATCATAGTTTGTGACGAAAGTGAAGAAACGTGAGTGGTATCAGCCAGTACATTATAGTTTAATGCAGGTAACCATAAGGTCCAACGAGAAGAAAGCTCCACAAACAAACCTTTGCATTCGCCTAACTCAAACAATCTTCGATACATCTCGACCTAATATTTCATCTGCCTTGTCTCGTTGCTTGGGCGCAATTGAGGATAGTGGGCCTTCTTGTGAGGACTCGTCCGGGTCATTGGCTCGCGACATTTCTGCGACTTGGATGGCATCCAACGAAACGGTATGCGAGATGCAGCTATGCCCTTTCTCGAGTTCATTTGATGTTTTCTCCGAGGACATCAAAGACAGCGATCGTGCAGACCCAAATGGCCGAAACACCATCGAAGCCAAACTACATAGTGTCGCGCTACTCGGTTTTGACTGTAGAGGGCTCGGGGGGCTGTCACTGAAGTCACACTATAAGTGATACTCCTTGTTAAGTACAATAGTGAGAGCATACCTGAATGATTTCAACTCATTTCCGGTACCATTTAAAGCGGTCTTAGAGCTGGAGGAGGTTGAAGAACGATGAAAATAGGGAAATGAAATGAAAAGGCGGACCAATCCGCGATAAGACTTCTTTGCATCGTTTGTGAAACCCAGAAGCCCAAAGTAAAAGAATGCGTGAAGTGTATACTCCCACTGAAATAAGTAGATTCCAACAGCAGAATCAGTGTTTCTCTGCCAGTATTCTTGAAGCCAAGGAGACCCTGGGAGCTGGGCTGAGGTACTATTTAGCGCTAGAATGGGGGAGGCATGTGATATATTTTGGTGAATTATATTCCATCCAGGCCAGAAAGGCAATTCACTGCTCTGCGATCCTTCGGTTACCATTTTGAAGAGTGAAAACAGCAGTTGAAACACGTTCTGAACAAGAGAAAGAATAATGAGATTTCGAAAGCGCTGTGGCGTCAGCAGACTCCTGTCAGAAGACAAGACTTTCTCTAACACATGACGTCGTTTGACAGAAATACTAATGGCGAGAACTATTTACCAGGTTAACTATGCTTGCATATATGTTGTACAAAGACTGACCAGAGTATATGGATGAAACAATGGTAGCTGCCAGCGGCCACCCGTGGATCAGGATAATACTGGCTCCGTACGCTCCGATTGCCGGATAGCAGCCCACATTCTCCACAATAAGATAACGATTTGTCTGGGTAACATAGTCTGGTAAAAGGACCGTAAACAACGATAATGATCGAAGAAGAAACCCGTCGGCATACATATGGCTATGGACAATACTGGAATACCGAGACCCATGCATAGATCTGCAGCTACGACGAACAAAGCCTATAATGTGCTTGAATCAAGCATAGGCGGGGAGGAAATAGGAAAGTGGTTTCATACCCGCTCCCTTCTATACGTCAGGGTCTGTATCTGGTACAGCCGTCTGGTTATGCATAGTGTGGCAGTGGGGATAGCGACCGCGCCACCAACGGCAAGGCGAGAAGCTAATCACAGTAGTTAAGGTCAGCCTCGACGGATAGACGGAGCAAGAGATACGAAACGCACCAATGTCACACCACACGGGAGCCCAATCTGTAATGTTGTTGCTCCAGACAATGGCATCGATAGCTACTGTGAGGCACATGATACTTGTCCAGGTAATGTAGAGGACCGATCCGGTGCTCCATGCTGTTAGAGATGAAACAAAGAACTACGTTAGTAATAGGATCAAGCACCGAAGGTTAGATTCACCTGTGTATTTCTGGCCAAGCTGCGAAACGACAAGAATGAAACCCAGAAACGAAAGCGCAGAGACAACGAGATTAGACGCCGGCATGAACTGCTACGTGCACTTGTGAAGGAAAACGCACAAGAACGCAGCTTCGCGTTGAGCTTACAACCAGCGAAGATATATATCACTGCACGAGTACAGCGACCCCTATCCTAGCGATCTTACCTCGTGAGATGGTGGAGGCTACGTCCTCATCAGTAGAGGTCATCAGAACGCGGGATTCCCACACAAACCAATGACCCAAGGAGCTCAGCTCGGTGTCCAGTCTACACACCCTTGATCTACACAAGGGGGCCTGCATAGACAAGGAGCGTAGTTCTGTGTAATCCAAACGACTTTCCTCACAGGATCTAAGGCCAGATATGTCAGTAGAACGGTCAGTACCTTCCATCATGTGCATCTTGACCAACGCGGCCAAGTTAAAGAAGATTCTGAATCACGAGGATTGACTGCTGTACATGAGCCACAGGAAGGAACTTCGTCATCTGTGATCCCCCGCTCATCCTTACTTAGCCACCTGTGCAACATCCCGCACCTGAAACCGTATCACCGAGGCAAAGGTGCAATACAGGAGCGAGGGGAGCCAATGTCAGCCGATGATCGCACTTTCGCATAGCTTGCACGCCAGCATACCTTGAAACCTGGATCGCCGCAAAGCGAAGAGGGGTGGTCGGTAAAGGCTTTGCAATCTGGTGAAGTATACTAGCCGAACTCATTATCGCGTGCTCAAGTCAGTCCAGGGCACTCGAAGGCCGCCGGTACCAGACGAGAGAGGAACAATTGTTCCTGGGGAAGCTTTGATCATGAAGAACCAAAAAACTTCGTGGTGTCGCAAGCGCATGCTGTACGGAGGAACCAAGGCCGTGTGAAGCGGTAAACTGTTGATTTGGCCTCGAAAAAGCTGAATGCAAGCTTTGAAATTGTGTATCAGATGGAGGATCAGCCTGACGGGATCTTAGATCAACTTCGATAGGCGTTCGTATGTCCATGGGATGGTCACAAGAGGAGATGCTGCTCGGAAGCCCTAGTTGCGAATGTCGATGTATTCTAAGCATGATGACAGTGAGAGAAAGTAAAGAAGGCACACTGGTCGTAACGCGTGACGCCGTTTCAACGCGATGTCACAAGATATGGTGTGACCTGCAGTGACAGCAACCAGGGGCAGGGCGGGCCGACTCGAGTCCGTGATGCATCGACGCTTGCTCCTCGACAAATGGCCAGAGTCAATCAACCTCAATCAATTAATCAACCCCGCATTCCGCAGCGTCGTTTTACAGACGTTTTCTCTCTATGCTCCCCAATACATGCAACATATTTCCCGGGACGGTTTCGTTCCGTGTAAACATAGCACACTCGGGTCAGCAGATCTTCTCTTGCATTCCGATAGATGGGATAAGTCCCCCACCCGAGTCGCACCCGGATAAACACGTCCAACGAGAAGCACATCCGTTTCTATCCAGTTCCTCCGTCAATGTACGCGCCTATGCTCCTGAGACCCCCATCAGCACAAGGTCGCTCTCAAAAGCAACCCACACTCTGCATGAAAACGGCCAGCGGCCAGTGGGCTTCTCACCATAGCTGCGTCATGTGTCTCACTAGATGGCAGACCGGGAATTCCAGGACACCCATCTGAGCTGCGGTAAGTAATACACTGGATTGGAATAGGAATTCGGTTGATTCACCCAAATCCCAGGATGTTCGTGGCCAGACAGACAAGCGACCCCCCGTAACAAACACGTGTACGCGTATGTGCACGTACATCCATTTCTTCCCTTCCCCACCCGCGCCGTCCGCGAGGATATAACTACAGACCACACCACTACGCGCCTCGTCTCCTGTCGAGGTTCTCACCGCTCGTTTTGATCTCGCCCGGGCTCTACTTTCGAACCCCGCGTCGTCTTCTGTCTCTCTCCCTTCCCTGGTCCTTCGACGCGACCTGCTTCTACCTCTCAAAGTTACCATGCGCTCCTTACTTGTTGGTACATGGTTGGCGCTCTTAAGCTCTAGGGTGTTCGCTGGAATGCCTAGCAAGATCTACGGTGTAAACTTGGGTTCTTGGTAAGTCTGTTTGAACACCATGTTTGCATTGGTCATGGCTGACGGGTATTTTACGTAGGTTGGTCCTTGAAGCATGGATGCTGCCCCAGGGTGTGTATACTATCCTTCTCGCGTCGCTAGCAAGAAACTTACTCGGCATACTCCTATGACAGAATGGTTGGACATGGGTGGCCAGTCCTGCACGACCTGTTCGGACTGCATCGCTACGGAGTCGTGAGTCTCTCGAATCTCGCAGTTAACAACCACAAACCTAGGCTGACATCGCACAGCTCATTCGCCAGAGCCTATCCCACCACTGTGGACCAAACTTTCGCCAAACACTGGGATACCTGGTTCACCCAGGACTACGTTTCCCAGCTTCAAGCAGCCGGCATCAATACCGTCCGTGTTCCCGTGCGTCCTTTCTATTCATCCCGGTGGTTGTTCCGTTGACGTGACCTCGTCCCGAATCCCAAGTTGGGCTACTGGATCGTCGAGGCCCTGGTCAACAGACCCGAGGAGATGTACCCACGGGGTGGTCTGGCGTACCTCGTGAGTACATACCACACACTTAACGCCGTGCTGCGAATTTTGCGGGGATATTTTATGTTGACGCGGGTCACGGTTGTGATAATTATAGCGTCGTGGATTAGGATGGCTCAAGGACGCTGGGATCAATGCTATTTTGGATCATCATGCGCTGCCCGGAGTGCAGACGCCGAATCAACAGTTCACCGGAAAGTGAGTATTGCGTCCGTCATTGTATAACTGTATCCAGACGTTGATGAACATCGTAGCTGCACGACGGATATTCAGTTCTACGTGAGTGCATGGGTACTGGTGTGAACGGGCTGGGGGTTGACTGCTCCACAAAACAGACCCCTTATAACTACCACCGTGCTTTGGTGTGGACAGCGGTGATGACGACGCTTGCGCACATGGACTCTAACTTTGGCAGCGTTTTCGCCATTGAGGCCGTCAACGAACCTATCACCGACGCGAACGAGACACCGGGCTACGGAACCTGTGCGTCAAGCTTAACCTTATGCTTAATGCCAACTGGGATTCTTGCTAATGCATTATGTGACAGTTCAAAAGAACTTCGTGCAAACCGTCCGCGCCGTCGAACTTGTCCTGGGAATCACAATCCCCGACTTTTCCTCACTTAACGTCGGGATGTCCAGCAGCAACTTCACTGCTGCGCTCGGCTCCGCGGCCGGAGCGTCAGTTCTCAACCCCGCTGTGCAGGCTGCGCTCACCGACGCTGTGCCTATCATCTTGGAGATCGCGGCGGAGTTCGGTATGCAGAGCGCGTTCACATCGGAGGGGTTCCAGTCGCAGAGGAGCGCTTTGACGACCAAGTGAGTGCTTCCACTAAATTGCAGGCGAGGGATGTTACTAAGGATTGGACGTGATCGCAGCTTCATGGATATCAATTGGCAGTATGACAACCCACCGAATCCGGCTAACGCTGCGATTGGGCCGCAGGGATACGACAACCATCTCTACTATTCGTACGGTGTACGCGCTCCGTACTTTTCTCATCCGCTGTAGGCTCACTTTTATATGCGTCAGGGCGTGGCCAATGCGACTCCCGAAGCATACCTCACTAGTGTCTGCAGTGAGCACTTACCATCCCTTCCTGTCTCCTATCTTGGCGCTCACGAATCACCTTCAAAGACTTGAACCGCATTCAAGCAGATGCAGCTCTCGGTGACAACCCGCTCTGGTTCGGCGAGTGGGGTCTGCCCACGCAGTTCGACGCGACGGACGAGTTCCTCTATCAGTGGGCCGATGCGCAGAAGTACGCGTATAGCCAGGGCGCCGGGTGGATTGTTAGTGCTCGCGTTTCATCACTCGCACGCTGAATGCTGATAACCGCTGTGTAATGCAGTTCTGGAACTTCAAGACCGAGATATCTGATTTGACGAACGGGACCGCGCTCGCGCGCCAGTGGTCCTACCTCGAGGCGCTCAAGATGGGCTTCTTTACGCAGGACCCGGCGCAGCTGAACGACCCGAACGTCTGTGCACCGTATATTAATAGCACTTCGTCGTCGTCTTAGACGAATGGGCGGCGTGAAGGTGACGGATGACGATGTATCACGATCTTTCTTGATTATTTGATGGGACATGACGAACACAGACTATTCCCGAGTGTACCTCAAGGGGTTGCACAGCGGCCGATCATTACGAGCGGTTATGTATTAAATACCAGATGTTGCTATTCCTCGTTCGTATATAGCGGGCCATGAATGTATAGGGTGTATTATCTCTTTGATATTACCATTGGTACTAGCGCGGCAGAACACGCTCAAGCCACTGATAAATATGCTGTAGCTCGTTCGCCGGCTGCGGAGGCATATGTCCGTAGCCTTCGTAGACATGTCTTTCAACCCACCCGCCATCTTCGCCTCGCGGATCTGTAGGTAGTTCCTCGCCTTCATTGTTTTCCCATTTATTTCTCGCGTGTATGAGTTTGTAAAGTGGAACAGGCGAAGGTCCAGAGGAGAAATACTTTCCTGCTAGATCTTCAGTGCCCTGGATGCAGGCATCGACGTAGATTACTCTGTCATCCTTTCCGTGTCCCCAAAAGACTGGAATCTCGCGTGCATGTGGTGCGACAGACTATGCAGCAGAATGGAACGTCAATAACGGACCATCGTGTTCGATAGTCAAAGTCTGTACCTTAGCAAAGACCTTCTTGATAGGGATATACCCACTGACTGACATCACACCCGCGAGGTTCCAACCATCCTGGCCGCTGTCGCGTGTTTTATTTCCAGTAAGCCCGGCTAATACAGAGACGACCGCTCCCTGAGAGTGGCCCGCAAGAACGATGCGATGTTCGGGAATTCCGCTCGCGCATTCGTCCTCGATCAACTCGTCGATGTATCGAACAGTCTCCAGAAGACCAGGCCCGTCCTCGCCTTCGTAAGGATCATTGGGATCGACGGGAAAGTGTTTGTTCGGGTTACGTCTGTCTTTATGCGAGACTATGACGTCGAACCAGCCGCGTTTCATCATGCCGTGGTCCTTCGTGATGGGCCGCAGCGGTGCGTACGGAAGGATCCATTTGATGTGCTGGAGGTTTGAGTTCTTCTTGTCCCTGCAGTATTTATAGATGCCGTCAATATCCTGGGGCATTTCACCAAGACCCTGAACGCTGCTTTCAGTTCATAGTCTAGCCGTCTGCAGATAAGGGGTGGATGGCTGACTGACATGGAGGAGGAAGACCGTGGCCGTATGTTCGCCTCGCGGGGGAACAACCAGAGGTTTCTCCATCTTGAATGCTGCCATAATCATCCAGTGCCTCGTAGAGGGCGTGAGTGATTTGTTCGAGGTCGAGGCTGGGTATGGGTATCGTACAGAATAGTGAAAGAAACGTAACGAGAGTGTTGACCAAGATCAAGTCGCGTTGTGGAGTCGGTCCTCGGAGCCGGCAGTCGTACCGATCACCGAGTAGCCGGGGAGTCAAAAAGCTGTGTGGCTGTGCAAAACGTTGAGATACGCGCTCACTGTCACAAGCAACGAGCTCAAACACCATGCCTACCCCGTCATCGCGACCACAGAAGAAGGTCCGCATCGAGAAGCCTTCATCAACGAAGAGCAAGCCTCACCATACAGCATCCAAAGAAAAACAAAAGGCCTCATCAAAGCCACTAAAAGCGCCATCACCACCGCCTCCCTCCTCGACGAAGTCGAAAGGCAAGCAGAAGGCCAAACCCCAAGAGAACGTACAAGGCCTGGGCGATGGGTCCATAAAGGATCTCCCGCGTGCATTCACCATCGTCGTCGGCTCTTACGAAAAGCTCCTATATGGCCTGGATGCATCTCTTGTTCCCTCTTCCTCTACCTCGGGTTCAGAGCCCTCGTACGACATCGTACTCAAGCCGACCTTCGCATTCCCTGCTCATGTATCGTGCGTCAAAGCTGTCGCAGCGTCTCCAGGCGGGAAGTGGTTAGCGACAGGGGCAGCCGACGAGATCGTCAAGTTGTGGGATCTTCGGCGTCGAAAGGAGCTGGGAGGGTTGATGCACCACCAAGGTATGCCTCAGCCCGAACCCCCTTTTCACCTCCCAGCCTCAGTTTACCTTATGTATAGGTTCGATCACCCAGTTACATTTTCCCTCACGGGCCCACCTCCTCTCGGCTTCGGAAGACGGCAGCCTCGCCCTCTTCCGCGCACGCGACTGGTCGCTTTTGCGGGCACTCAAGGGCCATACAGGACGCGTTAATGCCCTCGCGGTGCATCCATCTGGAAAACTCGCGCTCAGCGTCGGTCAAGATCGTACCCTTCGGCTATGGGATCTAATGCGGGGACGAGGGGCGGCCAGCACGAAGTTGGGCAAGGGTGAGCTTCCAGAATCAATCCTGATGAGAGGAAACCAGAATATATGCGTGCGTTTTGTAGAAGGAGAACTCGTAAAATGGTCAGCGACGGGAAAGTCCTTTGTCGTGCAGTACCAATCCACCATTGATATCTTCACAAGCGTGCGTCTTCCGCCTTTTTTCAGCCCTCCCACTGGTTGACGTGGGTTGTCTTTATCACAATACAGGACATGGCCTTACGTCACTCTATCAAGCACCCTTCCCGAATTCATTCTGTACTCTTCTGCAAACCCTCTTCTACTGACGCCGATGGCGAGTTCTTGGTTATTGGTGCTGAAGACAAAAAGGCCACCGTATACTTCGTACCTGAGGATCCAGATATAGCACCCTACTTGGTCGCTGAGTGCGTGGGCCACGAGAACCGGTATGTTGTCTTTAGCAATGCAGAATTGACCACGACATTGAGTTGGCCCTTAAAGCGTCAAAGCGGTCGAAACCATCCACATCGCCCTGCCCCACTCTTCGTCTCCACCCGACATTACGCCTAGCACCCTCCTCGTCTGCACAATCTCCTCTGACGGAAAGATCCGCGTTTTCGATCTCGCCAGCGTTCCCTCAACATCAGCGTCTTTGAAACCGAAATCGGTGGTTGCGATCGAAGCCAAGGCAGAGTACGACACACGCGGCTCCCGGCTTACATGCCTGACTGTCGCCTCGCGGGAGCTGACATCAGACGCAGCCGGAGAGGGTGAAAAGACGAACGCTAATGGAAAGCGGGAGAGGGACGACGAAGAAAGCGACGAGGGTGAGGCTGAAGATGACGGATGGGAGGATATGCCTGACAAAGAGGGAGAGGAGGTTGAAGAAGAGAGCGAAGAGGAAGAGGAAGGAGAGGAAGAGGAAGGAGAGGACGAGGAAGAAGAGGAGTAAGCTAGTCGCCTACTTTGCGTTTGCTATCGTTCTGCTATTCAGGACACATGCCTAGCCTATACCGGCCACATACCAAAAACAACGCTTTCGTTCGAAGCGAACATGTAGACGTTGGATCAGGTATTAAAGCTGAACGCCACGTTCCAGCGCATTCCGATCATCGCTGTTTTCAACGAGCGATACCCTAGCTGTCTATGGTATGTTTGATGCAGGTTATTTTACACATGCTTCTCAAGGGCCTTTCACAGGCAATACGATATCTCTTCTTAGGTGCGGAGGCGCCCGCGGATGAAGCGGTGTAGTGAATTGACCGTTGCGGGAAGTAGAGATGTCTCTTTGCCACAGATGACTCCTCTCATAGCCCCTCGAGGCGAAGCATCTTCTTGACGAGTGGATGATGTGTCTCGGCTCCCTCTTCGCTGTCCATTGTTCAACTGGAACCCCTGTAACAGGTTCCTCAGGAGCTGTCGTTAAAATGACGAGCGGTCCGTAAGTGCAAATTTCTCCCGCTTGCCACCCTCGTTCGTTCTCTGCTCACTTTACTCTGCCATAACGCTCCCCTCCTCACCGCATGTCTCGGCGCATACGACTCGAATGGAATCGGCGGGACGCCATCTTGAAGAACAACACCGATCGAGAGGATGCCTCCGCCCGAGGTTCGCCCGTTCATCTCGACAGGGAAAACCCGCCTACTGGCGTTCGCACCCCAGACGGGCTCATGTGGGCGCATGATCCCGAAGCGTTTTTCTGGGTTGCAAGAGACGCTCAAACTGCTTCCCGCGCTGAGAGAAAGGAGAAGGAGAAGGAAGCGTGCATGATTAAGGCGACGAGCAACTTAGGAAAGGAGGATGATAAACCATGCTTGGAAGAAGCTGGCACTGTTCAGAGCGGGAATGGCGGAAAGGGTGAGCAGGAACAAGATGCAATGCACCATCCCGATGGCGAAGACGCGATGGACGTGGATAATGAGGAAGACGACGCCCCCGCCGACGACGAGGAAGCAGAGATGCGGCGAGAGATGACGGTATACTCGCTGAGCATGATCCAGGACGCATTGGGGCCTTCGGATCCGGCGCTTGCAGCCCTTCCACGCGTCCAGCCTGTGCGCGTGCGACCGTGGCCGAGGCTTATTCTGCCTTCAGCTCCTGCCCAGGACTTGGAGAATCAAGGGAGGGTGAAAGCCGCTCACGCGGTTGAGTCGCCCGATTACCTCGAATCCAAATGCCGGCTCTGTGAGCAAACTTACCTCTTGCGGGGTTTCATCGTTCATCACTCTTTCTACAGTGTCGTCTCTCTTGGCTATGGATGATCCTCCGACGCGGTCCCTGCAAAACAACTTTCTGCCTGCGCCGACTATCACCCTCGAGAGAACGACGGCAGAGGATGACCTCTGCGTTGGTCAACATCGGCTGAGTTGGGATCAAATTGTCAGAGACTTGCGCAGACGAGGTTGGTAACTGTTTCATGTCCCCCCTAGTCCGTGATGATATTGATGTTTCTGGTCCCAGACAGGATGGAGGAAAAGTATTTCACTCAAAATCGTACGCAAATTCTTCCCCTCCGCTGTGAAGAATACACATTCTCCTGTCCCCGAAGGTCGTTGCGACTCGAACCAATGCAGCTTGATGCCCTCTAATCGTAAGAAGGTAAATCAGACTCGTCTTCTGATGTTGCGTACGCTCGCATGCTTAGTCACCGCTGTGCAGCATGGGTCGGAAAAAGCTGTGGTAAATCTCGAAGAGCCAATACCCACGGACCACCTACCGGATGTGCTCTTGGTGGACGTTCCAGATAGTCCTATCACCCGCCACGAACTAAGCGCCACTGGCCCTTTCGAAACGAGTCTCTACGTGCGCGCCGTTCTACGAAACGGTGAAATGGAACCTGTGGTTAAAGCTGGCCTCGAGGCTTGTTCGTCTTCGTCAACTGGATATCTGGACTTTTCCACGGCGAAGCATACAGGAACTGGACACCACTCGCGCGTTTATTCTGTCCAGCTGTCGCTAGCTAAGGGCGTGCAGATTAGGGCGAGTGATGGCGACGACTCGGACCCTTCGACAGTCCGAGTGGCCGCGAAGATGGCGATAGACAAATCCTCGGCTCGTACGCTCCTGACAAACGAGGCGAAGATGTACCACAGGTTCCCGAGCTCGCTTTCGGAGTCGTGGATGGGATATAACCTGGTGCCGCCCATGTTGGAGCCCGTGCCTGCAAGCGCGGTCATTCCTCAATTCTACGGGTACTATGTACCTGCGTGGCGCGGGTGCACGGAGATTGACGATAAAGCGAAAGAGAGTCCGATATTGCTTATGGAGGACTGCGGGAGTCCGGTCTCCAAACGCGATCTGTCTGAGGATGAAACGTATGTATTTCTTCTGCCTGCATCATGTGGATATGACACTGACGCGATTTGTGGCCGACGCATAGGAAAGAGATATTCTCGATGTTCTTGCGTCTCCATCTGGCAGAGTTTATCCACCTCTCAGCCTACCAACGCAATATCGTCTTTCAGCCGGGTCCGCTCACGATCCCGCCGCACCTCCGCTCCAAGGGCACTCCTAGTTTCCGTGTCATTGACTTTGGGCGCACGAAGGATTTCAATGCATTCGAGGAGGAATATACAGGGAGCTCACAGGAGATCCAAAGATCGTGGCAGCGCCACAAAGATTATGATATCAACGACCTGCGATCCGAGCTGGAGCTGCACTTGTATCTCTCTGGAACGCTGAAGACTGCGTTGTATGTTCGATCATGCTGATTTCCGGTATTCATCACCACGGATGGAGGGTAATGACGGTGCTTGGCTCGGGATCGAATAGATTTGCTGTAAGATGGAGAAAGCGATACCACTGTGATTTGTACCTGTTGGCGTATTCAAGGAGAGTTGAGCCTTGTAGGTTATTGTTGTTTAAATTTGCACAATGCGGCCGTCAAAAAGGTTTTTGGCTCTTTCTTTCTTTTCATGTACTACTTGCTCTCTGAAGGTTCGTGAACGCGGCCAGCTTTTATTCTCTGATATCCTAGAGTATGATGGAGCAGGCCGTACAGCCCCCGGGAGCGCTGGTCGTGAGTACTACATCAAACTGCAAATTGAAGCTGTCGAAGGCATCCTTCATTCAAGACTTGGGATCGTACAGTCTTTACACCGAGGACACGGGTGTTTGAAACACAGGGTGGTTTTAATCTCCACGAGGCTTCCAAGAGTAAGTTCGCGACGAAGCTCAGAACGGTGCTAGCGCGCTGCGGTGACAACGAAGTTACCATACTCATAGTTTCTATTTTTGAATGCCAGCAAAACCAGCGGTGTTAGATCATAAGGTAGAGAACAGAAATAAAGGTCATCAGCTCTCTTTTTCGGCTGGAGTTAATCTGGGTGGGCTAGCAAGTGCCAGACGCTTTCAGCTTAAATTTGTTCGATGAGCTCTTGGCGAGCCCCACAGTCGGAGCACCGTGCGAACCCGGAGCCAATGAACAACGCGTCAACGTTTCAACGTGAGCGCGTCTCCGACCAAATTCCCCTGGTGACCCGCCTTCGATGCACACGAATCTGGTCAGACCTCTGCTACCGGCTGATGTATGGAAGATGACTCGCTTCAAGCACATCCCTACGAACCTCTGCTCAAATCCATGGTCGGGGGTACTTCGGGTCCCTTGGTTGTGGCAAAAATGAACTCTTCTATGCTGATGATTGCCTCCGCATTAAACGCCTTCTCAGAATCTCAATGTATGTGTCGAAGAAACACTCTGAGGTCTGATCATGACTCAATGAGCTGTGACAGATAATTTAGGTTCGCCCTGTCCAGACACCCTGACTGTGACGGCGCGTAGAATGCTATAACTGCAACCTTGCTCTTCGCTGCACTTACCTCACCCCCTTCCCTCACTTCCCTTTTGTTTCCGCACGCGTCCGCTCTCTCCGACGCATCGACCCTCCTTTGACGCACCCTAGTCACTCTTTTCATACCCTACTTTCCCTCCATCGCAGTAATGCGTCTTCTCTTCGCCAGTGTTTGGCTGGCGTCGTTGCTCACCAGCGTGCTTGCTGGAATGCCCGACAAGATATACGGTGTAAACTTGGGCTCATGGTGAGATTTCGGGCTCGTTCCTCCTTCTCTAATTTGTTGACGAGAGCGTCACCGTCTTGCACTAGGTTGGTCCTCGAGTCATGGATGTTACCCCAGGGTGAGCAAAGCCATTGACACTTCATGAGCCACAAGTCCAAAGTCGCTGATGGTGTTTCAGGGTGGCTGGATATGGGCGGGCAATCATGTCAAAACTGCCAGGACTGTATAGCTACGGAGCAGTGAGTATAAAGTTCCTTCCTACGATGTCAACCATCACCTCATGGTATCCAAGCGCGTTCGCGAAAGCGTACCCTGAGACCGTGGACGAGAAGTTTGCGCAGCACTGGGAAACCTGGTTCACCCAGGATCATGTCTCCGAGTTGAAGGCCGCTGGCATCAACACGGTCCGCATTCCGGTGCGTACAGTTACTCTTACACCCCCGACGTAGGTTCTACACGATACTAACTCTCTTGCAGCTTGGCTACTGGATCATCGAGGCTTTGGTGGACCCGTCGCACGAAGCATACCCGAAGGGTGGTCTCAAATACCTCGTGAGTTCACCGGGTCTCAGTGGATTGGTAAGGTTCGCCAACCATGATATATCTAGCGTCAAGGTCTCGGCTGGCTCAAGGACGCTGGAATAAGCGTGATCCTTGATCACCACGCTCTGCCGGGTGTACAGTCAGCCAACCAGCAGTTCACCGGAAAGTGAGTACATAACTTACATAGCGCATACAAGCGAGTCTTACCAGTGATTCCTTCAGCTGCACGGACACGCCCCAGTTCTACGTGAGTTGAAGTTGTTCCTACAGCGAGTGGAAGTTCTGCAGCTAATCATGGATATGCCACTTCAGACCCCTTACAATTATCACCGCGCGCTTGTCTGGACGTCAGTTATGACCGCCCTCACGCACATGGACCCCAACTTTGGTAGCGTCTTCTCTATCGAAGCCGTCAACGAACCTACCATGAATGCCACCCAGACCCCTGGATACGGTGACTGTATGTACTCTATCTTCTAGTCCTCCACCACATGCACGTTGCCTTGTTGCTAAATGAGTTTATACTTAGTCCAGAAGAACTTCGTCCAAGTCGTCCGCACGATCGAGCTTATCATTGGCATCCCTGGTATCGACCTCAACCTTGGCCTCAACCCCGACGCGGACATTCTCGGTCTTGGTCTCGGCACCAACTTCACCGCCGCGTTGGGCTCAGTCGCTGATGCTGCCGCGGCTGCGCTTAACCCTGAAGTGCAGCTTGCGCTCGCGGATGCGGTGCCCATCATTCTTGAAATCGCCACTGAGTGTGGGCTGGAGAGTATCTTTACGCTGTTGGACTTTATGGATACGAAGCGGGATCCTATTGTGACTAGGTAAGTGACAGTCCGGGTGAGGAACAGTGCAAGTTGACTCTTCTTATCTTAGCTTCATGGATGTTAACTGGCAGTACAACAACCCGTCGAACCCTGCTGATGCTAAAATCGGACCGCAAGGATACGACAACCATCTTTACTATTCGTACGTTATAAGTCCGTCGTATAAGCTACAACAATCTAACATGCTTTCTCACAGATTCGGTGTAGGTGATCATGTTCTAGGGTCACCCGAAGTAGACTAATGTTCCGCAGGGTGTTGCTGACTCGAACCCGGAAGCGTACCTGATCAGTATTTGCAGTAAGTGCCGTGATAATCTCATTGCCCGATATCACATTGCTCATCACTCTGGTGCCTTTAAGACCTGAACCGCATTCAGAACGACGCCAAACTCGGAAACACCCCTCTGTGGTTCGGCGAGTGGGGTCTGCCAACCCAGTTCAATGCAACCGACGCGTTCCTCTACAAGTGGGCTGACGCGCAGAAGTATGCCTACAGCCAAGGAGCTGGATGGATCGTAAGTTTACCTTCCGCCGTCACTCGCAATCTCATCTGATATCAATGCACTCGACGCTTTACAGTTCTGGAACTTCAAGACCGAGATCTCGGCGTTGACCAACGGAACTTCGCTCGCGCGCCAATGGTCCTATCTCGAAGCCCTCAAGATGGGTTTCCTCACGCAGAACCCGGCGCAGCTGAACGATGCGGATGTGTGCAAGCCCTACATCGGGAAGACATACACGTCGACTACCATGAACGCTGTTTTGACGAGTGCTGCATCCACTAGCACCGGTCCTGCCGCCCCCGCCGCGACCACTGCTGTTACTGCGACTGCGGCGGACAAGACGACCGGCAGCGAGTCGTCTGGTGCTCCTCAGAACACTGGCTCTGCCCCGACGGAGACCTCTGCGAATGGTACGCTCCCCACTGGCACGCCTCTCACCAAGGCCCCGAAAATGCGCAAGGCTCTCCAAGCCCATAGACACTCGGGTGGTCACTACTTCTGAGTGAACAACGAACGAGTAGAAAATGATTCCTTTCCTTGTTTGCTTCTCATCTTCGCGTATGATTCAACTTAGTGATCACGTACAGTTTACTTCGGGTGTTTGAGCGACCTTTGTTTTACTTGGTAATTACTGGTTTCTGTAGTGAGTTCGCCGTCTTTCTTATGAACGCATGAGCTAGTAGGAATTTCGCTGCCTTATATTTAAAAACAAATAATCGCTGTTCAAGCATCACCATGGGTTCCTCCATTTCTCGATTCTGCACTTATCCCCCATCTGAGAGGTTTCATGTTGATACTGGGTACGTTGCACTGAGATATACAGTGCAAGTTAAGTTTCCTCTACACTAACTTCTGCGTGTATCCATCCGGAGGAGCGTGCATTTTATGGAACTGTGACAGTAGCTGCAGGGCATCGACTTCCAATCGGGGTTTTTTCAACTCATTCACCTTATTGTGAGACTTTTGCTTCCTGCGCAAGGCAGATTATTGGTCTTGACCCGCAGTTCGCCTACTTCTGGCTCTCGGGTATTCACTCTTTATCCAACAAACAATAGCATCGCACAACTTGTTCAAACGCAGTATCCAAGGATTATTATTATACACTAAAGTCGATACAAAATTCTGCGCAGTGAAGTAGCTAACAATTAGCTTTTGCGATACAAGGACTATCGAGGAGGTGAAAATGAATAACCTTGATGTAAAGTCAATATTAATGGCATTCTTCAATACTGAGGACCTTGAGAAGGGATTGGGTAACCGTGCCCCGGAAGGTTGTAGCGAGGCATGGTGTTGCCGAAGCCAGGAATAGGAGCGTGGCGATCGTAGTATGGCGCCGGAATATGGCGCTGATGCGCCTGGTATGACGTCTCGTTCCTCATAGCAGCGGTCATGTTCGCAGTCGAAGTCGACGAGGTCGACGCGCCATGGTCGGATCTCGGGTATTGATAGTACCCGTGATGACCGGATGAGGAAGCTGAAGGAGCGGAGTTGATCTGGTGCTCCGGCATCGTGCGAGGTTGCATATCCATCGCGTACGCGTTTCCCTGCTCCCATCCTAGATTGTCGCTCCCAAGGGATGAACGAGGGGGATATTGGTACGTCCGCCCGCCAGAGGTGGAAGGGGGGTAGCCAGCGGAAGAAACTGCCGGCTGTGCGGACATGGCTGAGGAAGCCGTGGTCGCGTTGGTGGTTCTCTTACGTTTGTTGCTCTCTTCACCGCGGTGGGTGAAGAGGGCGTAGTCATCGCCATCGTCTTCTCTCTGTCTCTTGGATCGAGAGTTGACGGGCTCTCTGTTTTCTTTCTCATGGGCGCGTTGCTTTGCTTTGACCGCCGTTCGAGTAAGAGTCTGCGCAAGCAAAACAATCAGCCAAGTCAGCGATGAAGCGGTAATCGAGGTGCTTTACCTTTTGTTTCACTTCGATTACGTCAACAGGGGATGAAAACCTGCTGTTCGAAGGCCTGTGTGCTGTGTAGACGGGCTCGCGTTGGGCGATCTCAAGTCGCGGGTCCAGGAACCCTTCGATTGACTGGGATGGTCCTAGAGGAGGCAAGAATACGTGAGTTATATTGATCTCGGATCGCGATATAATCAATTGACAAACCTGAAGGAGACGTCTTAGTGGACGACGACACGGCGGACTCATCGGTCGCGCTCTCAACACCCCGCACGAGGCCACCCATTGATGCGTTCCGAGCACGGCTTTGGTAGTACTGCGAGGAATGAGTGTCTTCACGTTGAAGAAAGTAGAACTGTACTCACCTTTGCGAGTTTTACCGAATCTTTTCCCCAGTTTATCGAATCCATCTCTCCGAGTGCCTCTATGGCCTTGTCGATGCATGTTAGGAAAAGTTGTTCCACCTCTTTGTTACCGTTGTATTCAGGAGGTCCGTTGCCGATCATGTCACATAGCCTTTTGTGCAGCCAAAGTCCGTAGGGACTCCAGACGCACTCGTCTACGTTTCTAAGATCGGTAGGACGCCTATTCATGGTCTATAAACGTTTCAACGGCGATGAGTATGCAGCAATCAAGTTGATATCACCGCCACTTACCCACACCTCCGGCAGTGGACTTAGGTTGCTGAGACAGGCTTTCATATTTTTATCCGGCTTTGTCAATGGAGTGAACTCTCGAGGGCGGCCGGTGGGGAGAACGTTCACACGGGGGCTTGAAGGTCCGAGAAACGTACTGGCCAAACATCCGGCAAGAAGTGAGCAGAGCATTGCAGTCAGTAGTCGGAAAACTACCTCGAAGCGCCCTGGCGATGCGACAACCCCTCCGTCGGAGGAGTACCATAATGGGTGCTGATGGGAACAGGCTGCTAAAATGTGAGCATTCTGAAGATTATCAGAGCTCGATATACTCACATTCGTCCGTGTAATCAAGGGTCCTCCTGCACCAGACATAGTCTGAGAAATTGGGGAGCTGTACGCGGTGGCGTTGCTTGCGGCGCTGAGAGGGGATGACACGTGAGGAGCATTGGAGAAGGGGTTGAAGTGAGAGACGTCGCGGTTGGTGTACCGTTCTGAAGAGACGGCGCCGGGAATCGCTAGGCCATCGTTGGTGATATCAGCCTGTGGCAAAGGTGCATGACGATAAGTGAACTCTGGGTTTTCAGAGAGAGGTAGCGGCCGTGTTTGATGTGCGACTGAGGTTGGTGTTGTATAAGGGGGAGTGCCGTTAACAGAGGACGAAGCGTGCGTTAGAGTGTCGTAGGGAGTTGTCGACGAAGTCGTGTTATCCACACCAGGGGGACTGCCTAATGCTGAGAACGAGAGAGGATGCGCGCTTTCGGATGGCGTCAAGGCGTTAACTTGTAAAGCACCGAAGGCAGCGGTAGGAGACATGTCGTCAAGCCCAAGGTCGAAGCGCCAGCTGTGCGCGAGGTCCCAGTCGATTATGGCATCCGTGCCACTGGATAGGATGGGCGCATCGCTGGACGGCGGAATCAACTCTGCAGTGGGTGGCGGGAACATGTTCCCGGGCATAAAAGCGTCAGCTGGTAGGTGATGGTCTACAGCATCGAGGGTATGGAACAGCGGGTTATGGGATTGATTCATCGTGAGGGGGACGAAACAGAAACAAGAGGGCGGTTGAGGGAAGGATGAGGAGGGGTGAACTGGTTAAATACTCTAGAATGCACAGCAAGTCAGGATCGAAGCGAGTCATGCTCCGAGGCAAGGCAACAGCGGGGCTCAATCGCGCGTTTTGTTGTGGATCCTTGTGGGACATGTTGCGGTGTGACGAGTCTGCCATCAGACAATAATATGAAGTGACATGAGGCTTCTTTTCAGGGACTCCCCTGGTCCAGTCACGTCGGTTCTGGACCTTCCATGTTGGCTTCCCCTGTACTCCGTTTGAGGCCGTACCCGTTTAGACGGTCTTGCGCATAGTACTGCATCTTCGGAACCCGTTTGTTTTGCTACCCTGCAGTGTATTCGTGACGTATGCTCTTCTTCCGCAGGACATAATGACGCATCACGTACTCTGATAGCTCGGAGTGGCAGCCACGGCGAGTCGGCGACGACAGAGATTCTATTGAAGCCACCATATCATGATCGACTACCCGAGACGTCGGCTTCATTTGAGAGATCCGCCGGGTCTGAGATCCTCCGTTGCGCCAATCATACCATCAAGGCTTCTCGAGGATGACAGAAGCATATTCTCTCCTATTCTTTGTCTCGAGGTACCTGTCTAAGCACGCAACATCACTGACCGTAGCATCCGATTTTAGGTAGATGTTTTAAGCGCTTAACAAAGTTCACGCCCTCACAACAATAGCGCTTGTGCCTAGCAAGGCGCAAAGGGTTTGTAAGGCGGCGAAAAATGATGAGGAAATCTAATGTTTCCCGAAAAAGCCTAGTCCAACATGTCAGACGTTTAGACTTCTGCCAACAAAGTCTGGGAAGTACCCTGAAATACCAAGGCAGCCGTGATCGGCAAGATACTTCCGCTTGTCAACACGTTCGCGACGCAGTACTAGTGCTGCCGGCATTTGCGTGCGTGAGTGTCAATTAGCGGAGTCGCTCTGTTGTTCTATCTGAGACGCACTGGGATAATTCAAATATATCAGGGAACTCCTGAATACCCACGTGGATGCTGTGTTCAAGTCTGGAAGCTAGATGGGGGAGAGGAAAGCCCTGACGCTGTAATGATCATTATGATGGATATATGGCTAGAACAGACTAGCAAAGCCGTGATGAGCACAAGACGAGCAAAGTGAGTACAAAGTATAATCTCTTCCAGAGCAAAGGCACAGAATGGCGAAATGATATGTACTAAGATACATGAAATGGAGTAAAACAAATTCGATACAAATGCAATATCTCAGGCTAAATGTTCCAACAGACTACTCATCTCAGCGCAATGCGAGTAAGACCCCATCCTTCAATGCAAGGACGGGTACCAAAAACAACAAAAATCGAATTAAATGTTCATTAAATGATCCCTCTCGGAGGAAGCAGCGATTTAACCCGGTGAATGATATGGATGGGGTGACTTGTAGGGTGATAGACTTGGACGGATCGAGACTCTTTGAAAATGAGATCGGCGGTTTGACGTCGGGGTACAAGCTATGATTCTCCCAAGCCCCTTTGTCACTTCGCTCGACGTGGATCTCGATTTCGACACAAATCACGATGGGTGGCGTGGAGGAATTTGGAAAGGCGCAGCGACTTTCTGCATAGCGCGATCTATGTTCACAAATGTGTTCCCGGACATCGCGTGCTCGCGTTATGCATCGAGCCTGAGACCATCCAGATGGTCAATTCAACGAAAGCGAGTATCAAATTAACTTTGACTTACCGATTCCTTCATCCATCCCATTCCTTTCTTTCCCGGCTTCCTGACAGAAGAACGGACAAGTTGTGCGCGCGGGCGATTGAAAGCTGTCATGACAGTGTTTCCTCGAGATGAGGCTGATGCTGCTGAAAGAGATATCTTAGCGTGTTATATAGCTGGCGTGGAACGGCGCCTCAACGCTGTGGATAATGGTAGTGCAATCCTGTGATCTGAGTCAAGCTGTACCACCCAAACCGAGTCTCGTACACACTTAACTTGTTTTAGCGATGTATTTCAAATAGCAGCTTGAAGCGCTCTCAGGAACGCTGACAAGGAGAGGCGCCTTTGTGGGATGGTGCCCATTGTCCGCGTGTGGAGGCCTCTGAGCTAGGACTCCCTTGCCTAGGAATTCATGGATTAACAAATACATTTTAAGTGGAAAATGGACAGGTGATTGTGAGATCGAGTCACTGACAGTGAGTATGAGCCCCAACGAGTCGAACAAAGAGTCAAAGGAGCGAAGGATAGCTTGAAGGTGATGTGAAGGAGCTGAGTCAAAGAGGCTGACAAATTCTGGGCCGCCGCCTTCGGCAAAGACCGATGACGCCAGACGCTGTACGTTTCCCGACGCTTGCCGCGGCCGAAGGGCTGACTGACGCTGTGTCGCATATTCTCCATCCTCTTTTCCTCGTCCTAGGTTTGCATATTTTTCATCCCAGGGCTGGTGCAGCCAACGATGCGTCGCGCTCTTGAACTTCCCCTATGTCTTCTTTCTCTGGCACTCCTCGCAGCCGCCCACGAACATCATGATGAACTCACGGAGGAGGACGCCAACGCGCCTATCGATGCAATCCTTTGGATCCACATGGCCCTCCAAGCACTCGTATGGGGCATACTATTCCCTGTAGGAATGGTACTTGGCATCACACGAAGTCGGTGGCACGTACCTCTACAGGTGAGCGCTCTGCACCTTCCTATCCGTATCCGTGTCCGCGTCCAACTTACAGCTAATCCCGGTACTCGCATGGTATAACAATATCAGAGCACAGGAATTGCACTCACAATAGGCGGCATATTCCTTGGACACGCTCACAAGGGGCGCCAGTTCCTTCGCTCTGCGCATGGACCGTTCGCCAAGATCCTCCTGCTCCCTGTCGCAATCCAGCTTGCGCTCGGCGTGTACCTCAAACTGCACATCCACGAGCGTACTATTCGGCCGTATGCTGTCAAGGCGCACGGGATTGTCGGAAAGGCGTATCCAATACTGGGGTGGGTGCAGATGTTGTTTGGGTCGATATCGTTCAGGGGCTATTGTCGGGGCGGACACTTGGGACAGTGTTTGGCGCATTACATCATGGTACGTTGCTTTTGCTCGCATGTGTTGTACCATCGAGCGCGTGTTCACGTTTTAACGCTGGTTTAGGGAAGCGGGTTCATTGCGTATGGCACTATCATGGCTATCATGTTCATCGTCGGCGAGTCTTGGGTGCGGCGGAGCGGGAGGAGCCCAGAATGGTGGGATTCCTGGGTCATTACTCTGTGGGTGCGTACCTTGAACCTTCACTCTACTAATGAATGGACATCTGATCTGGAGTAAAGGGGATTGGTATGTCAGGCCCCATCATCATCCTGGCGTTACGCTTACCCATAGCACAGTCAACACGTTCACCGAGCATCACGGGGGCGCTTGGTCGGTCAAGGACATGCAGCATACGTAAGTCTTCGGACAATCTCACGAACCACAGCCTACTCACCGAGGTGATCAGTATCCTCGGTGTTCTTTGTAAGTTGTAGTAGCGAACTCTGATGCGAGGACCCGAGGCTCACGGAGAGTGTATAGGGTGGACAGGAGGAATGTTAGGCATTTTCTTGTCGCGGAACAACCAGGCATGTCGCCAGAGCTCCTGACATGCGTTATTCCCACTGACATTGCCTATGACCTCCAGCGTTCCGTGATCCCTAGTATTATGTACGATCCGCTCACATGCTCACATAGTAGTTCGGATGACTGACGTACCACAGCATTATCCTCACAGGATGGGCTATGGCAGGACACGCACAGGCGCTTATGATCTCGACGATGGTCAGCCAGCGTTCTTTCACCTCTTCACTCTATTACTTCCTTTCCCCCCTTCCATTGAGCCGAATTAACGCTGTATGGCTTGAACAGGTCCACGCGACGTTTGGCTACACACTCTCAGCTGCCGGGCTTTCACGCATCGTTGAAGTGTGCTTCCTCTCCTCGGCGAGGTACGATGTCCCACCGGTGCAGGGTGATAACAACAGCGAACACACGCTCGCGCCGGGAGATTCGTCAGCATCGCAGGAAGCTGGGAGAGTCAACGCTGAGAAAGCGTTCAGGCATTTGCCACCTTTCGTACGCTTTTCTTTGCGCGTTATCAATCTATGCTCACTTTCATCGCTAGCTATTGGTTGCTTCTGGGTTCGTGTATCGGTCCCATTCGGGGTTGGTGTACGTTTGGCTAATTATATGCGCCTATGCAGAATCCTGTTCATGTCAGCGACGGATGAAGAGCTTGGATTTGCCAACGATGAAGGCATGGACCATGTTACGTACATCCTTATCATGTTCAGGTCCGTCTCTCCTTCCTTTCCTTTCAACCTTTTCTTGTCTTCTTCGTCCCTGTCACATGGCTCGACCCATTCTTCTTTCTTATCGATTCGACTGACACCTCGCTTCAATTTACAGCATCACATTCCTCCTGTATACCCTTGTACTAGCGCTCATTCACCTCTTCACCATCTCGGGCCGAAATGCGTCCTCGAATTCGCAAACCGCTCTGGCAGGTGACAACGCCATTGAACTCACCTCGCCCCGCGGAGCTGCGCCCAAGTGGTACGCTGCTGTGCCGGGCGAAGCGGAGGAGACACATGTGCTCGGTGAAGACGAAGATTAGTGTCAATGCCTCTTCTATGACATCGATGACGGTGGGGTTAGGCATTTGGTGACGTCCACGTGTAAACGACGAGGCGTGTATGCTGTAGTGCCTATGGGCGCTTGTTATCCGTTTGTTTCTCTTTTAGACCTTGTGGTACCTCCTCTCTTACTCTTAGCTTCTGTGTATACCTGTAACCTCTTTGTAGATCGAGACGGTGGCTAACGACATAATATGTACCACTTGAATCAACCTCGGGCGCGACGTCCGAAGGAAATTACAGACACCACCAAGCCAATATCTAGATCTCTTGTCCCTCTCATTAACGTCACAAAGCTGTGCATATCGATGAACCGTCCCGTATCACGACAGATGACCATCTCGCAATTGTCTTTTTTGAGACAAAGCAAAGACGACAAGTGGGCCGCCTGTAGAAGCAGTGGCACAGCCTATGCCTACTTTTAGCCGCGCGGGAACGCCGGCGCTTGCATGCACAAGGGCCGACTCCCGGCATCTCCCGGTCGTCTCCTCGATTTACCAACGACCGTCATTTCTGTCAAGAGCTTGTCAAGAGCGCGGAGGTTTTGCACCTACGGTTGAGGCTCTTGGAATCTACAGCAAATAATATATGAAGACTCATGGCGTGCTCGACGACGTCGCCAATTATTCTCGAAACCTCTTTGCTATGCTAAGGCGACCGGGGCTCGAAATGGGAGCAGGGTACCGATGTCTTGTCCGTACTGGTGGATAAAGAGCGAGCGCTCGAGATGCTCTTGTGTCTTCATCAACCTCAGCTTCAAGTGATACATCTCTTCCTACTCGATTACTTTCATCACCTTCTCCATCGCCATCGCCATCATGACCTCCCATCAATCATCGTCGAATCCCTGCTTCTTCGAGAGCCTTCCAAACGAGCTTGTGGACGACATATTTGTTCATTGTCTACCGGAAGAGCCCTCCATTGTCTCGTCTATTGATGCCCCTCTCCTCTTTCTCGCGGTCTGCAAGCGGTGGAAGGAGATAGCCTTAGCATCGACGCTTCTGTGGAAGAAGGTGTACGTCAACATAGCACAAGAGTTCAAAGATCCATCAGCCGATAGCGAGAAAAGCATACGGAGAATACTTTCGCTTCTCAAAAGGTGGTTCCAGGTGTCTGCAACGGCGGGGCCGGAGCGTACGTTTCAGGTCGACGTTGTCGTTCGTCACGACATGTACAATCTAGCGAGCCCATACCCAGACGCAATCTTTTGCACCCTCCGTCAGCCTGCGTTCCTTCATCGCATCCGCTCAATCGAGTCGTACGGCGTACTCGTTTTTTGCAAGGAGGATCGTCGCCCACACATCCCCACGCCTAGCAGCGCCGCCTGGGACGCTCTTGTCCAAGACCTGTCCTCTCTCCAGACCGTCTCGCACATCGGACGCTTTGACACGCCTCATTTAGGACAGTGGATTCCCCCACGAGAGGAGTACCAACGTGCACGGATCGTCACCGGCGCTTCAAGCCCAACCCCGGGCCCTGCTCTCCTCGTAGACTCTTTCATGGCGGATTCTTTTGTCCACACATGGCACGAAGACCCGATGACGATGCTGCAACGCTTCGTTCCCGTCCCGTGGAACTCCCTGACCACGCTCTCCTTGCGCAACACCATCATACGCGACGAAGCGTGGTATCACCGCCTTCTCAAATCCATCACACAACTTCCCGCGCTCGAGTCCCTCACTCTCCACCTCTCCGGGTTCAACACTAACGGGCCTCACTGGGAACCCTTCGTCATGCCACGTTTGACCCATCTCGAGGTCGTCGGTAACCCGGCGTACATAGATATCGACTACCGCCTCGCGGGGTTTCTCCGTGCGCTCCGCCCTCCTGCTTTGCAACGTCTTGTTGTTAGCCGACAGGAGGATTCGTGTGTGCAACATGGCGCCATCATGACCATCTGGCTCAGGGACCTCCTCGACTCCGCGCCGTCGCTCACCTCGCTCGAGATCAGCGACCCTTACGTTGAGCCTGGAGATATATGGCGCGGCTTGGTCGAGCGGCCGCTGACGCGGTTCAGCCTCCGCGTGTACCCCGCGTACGCTCCTGTCTTAAGACAGCTGGCGAATCCGTTGGTGTGTCCTACCTTAGAGGCTATCGAGTTGGAGGTAGTCCATCCGACGAAGGAGGAATTGGAGCTAGCTTGGGATATTGAGGCGAAAAGACGCGTGGCTAAGGGCGGTGTGCTCACAGAGTTTGTGCTGACGAGTTGCGGGAATGATGAGACGTCTTGAAAAAAAGGCTTCGTACCCTTGGCTTTAGTTTTAATCGATACCCACCCACATATCCTCGTTCCGGTGTACTTTAAAATAAACGACGTGGAATGCTCTATCACTCGAGTTAATCAAACGTGGAGATTCATGGGGAGTATCGAAGGGACATATAGTGTGATCGAAAGGTATACTCGTGGGATAGATCTTGCGCAGTATAGCAAAAATCGGGTTTCTTTACAGTAATGCCTCCCGGTATCAACAGCAAAACCGTAATGCTTACACTCATGTAGAGTACTCTTTTGGCTTCATTCCATGAAGACCCTTGTACTTCTGCGGCCCGTTGCACTCTGCCTCACTCCAACCAAGCGACTGCAGCGCCCCCTCCGAGCACGAGAACACGTCGACTTGGATAGGTCGGCACACCTTCAATGTAGGGTCATCTTCTCCCTCAGATAACTGTGCGTCCTCAGCATGTTTTGAGGAGTTCGAGTCATCCCACATTCGGACGCTGAGATCGCCTCCGGGACAAGTAGACAATGCACAAAGGAGGTCAATGTCGGCGATGAACTCGAAGTAGTCACCCTTTTTGGCAGGGCACGCGCCCATCCAATACTGTATTCGCGTTATCCGCATGTAAAGAATGTAGCTCCGGGAGAGGTATGCAGACCTTATCCTGATCGTTCAGCCCTGTAAGCTGAAAGACGTTGAGGACGTCGTGGACGTCAGATTCGTTGAGTCCGTGTGGTGTTATGGCTCTAGTCAGATTCTGGGAATACACACCCATGAGTCAATGGATGCAAGTTTCACCACGATACAAGGCAATAGCAGGTTACACTTACGCTGTGACAGTGATAGTCGAAGTCCTTCCCAGTAATCATCCGATTGACATAAGGGTCTGCATGCGATGCAAGAACTTGAGCACCCAGTACAACGTATTTCATCAGAGAGCGAGCTGCCTACCACAGCGAGTACCCAGAAGGTCATGTACCCGTCCTCCATTCGAGTCCTTGCCGTAGTCGGCAAGAGAATCGCCAATGATAGTGCACATCGGCCTTAGATAAGGCTGTGAAGGCGCACATCCGAAAGTCAGACCATTATGGATCTGCAAACAGATATGGGACACTCGATTCGTGCTCACCAAGCAGCTCCAAAGCCGATCACCCAGTGAAACATGAGCCGCCTGCAACTGTCTCGTCCTGCTAGCCCACATCCTCTCCCTCGGATTGTGCGCATGCCACAAGTTGAGATCGCCCACCTGGGGCCCATCCGGGAGTGATAGTCTGCAAATCTGTCCAGCTTTGACATACCATGCACGGCCAGACCGGATGGGTACGATGAGGCTGAACTCGCGCTTGCGCTCGAGGTGGGGTAACTTATCGAAGTAAAAAGACGGTGTAGAGAGTGGCCCGCCAGAGGTGGCGTGATAAGCTGCCTCAGTCAGTTTTGGGTCCATGGCTATTGTAGTGTGTTAAGCGGAGATATGATCTTGCGTCTAATTGTCTGCCTGAGTTGCTAATACTGTAGGAACTAAGTCAGTGGGAGGCGAGAGAGTGCGGAGTACTCTTCCGGTGAATGCCGGTAGACCAAGTGGCGTGCGAATGCTGTTCATCACCTTTCCTTGAAGGGCACGATGTCGTGCTCTTGGATTTCCATTAAGCAAGACTTGGAGTCTGGTAACAGGCAAGTCGCTCATGTAGTGAAGTATGATATTCGCCCTGTTCTTGTGCAGTTAATGCCTTCGGAGCTGAATCCGATTCGTGGTCACTTAAGTCTGGCTCGGCTTACTCTCAAACTGACCATTCCAACAGATCTAGCCTGAGGGTACCCGTAAGGGATTACATGCTCGGAGGATGTACACTACGAGTGCGCATCCGCAGTAAAGCCGCATAAACCTCTCATTTTCATTTTCTCCTCTCCAGGAACCCGCCCATGACGGCGAAAAAACCACACCGTGACCTTCATCCCTTTCTTGCAGGCTATTCTCCTGCCTGCTCCAAACAGCGTACTTCAAGTGCATGAGTGGCCATATAACGGAAGCAAGCTGGAAGTCCCGTGGGTCACATTTCATTGAGCAAGCATGATAACACAGCCCGCTGAGTTCGTCCGAAGATAAGGTCAATTGCCATGACACACTTACGTTATGTTTTCGGAGGCATTCCGGACAGCAACAAGCGCCCAAGTTTGATTCAAAGCGACCTTCGGAAATTCATGTCGTTGTCTCTCTTCAGACCGTCAACCACGCAGCGCCGTCTTGCCTTCTCCTGCTGCCAACCGCCCTCCCTTTCACTTGTAGTCCGAGATCATGAGGCGAAGAGTATCACAGCTCTTGCGTATACGTGGTAGGTAGACACGTTTCGATGCGGTTACTGGCTGACTAACGTCGCAGCAACAGATCGCCCTCCGCCCACCCCTCCACCTCAGACCGAGCCATGGTATCGGCCCAGTAACGCTGACATGCATTGGTGCCTCCGTCTTCCAGAGACGCTTGGGCTTATCTTCGACTTCGTTGAGGACCGGGACACCCTGTTATCTTTGGCACGCGTGTGTACTCAGTTCGTAGTGATGGCCACCGACAGACTCCCTCAGCATCTGAGCAATATCTACGAGCTCCTGATGGCTCTACCACACGACCTATGGGAGCTGAAGGTTCTCCGCGACAAGAGTGTCAACAAGAGATGGGATTACCTCCTGCCATGGGTTATTGTACGTACTCGATAAAGCAGTGAACGCCAAGTATGATTCACATGTACCTCACTTTGCCAGACTTTTGTCCGCGAAGTGACACCAGAGGAATGGAAGATTTTGCTTGTCAAGACCGCCAGAGTCAAAACCATCGGCGTACGCAGCAACAGACTAGATTATCCAAGCAATACAACTTCAACCGACCATGATACTCAGGATCCACGCGTATTCCGAGGGAGGATCCTTGAGCCGGATACCACAGTCGTGGAAGCGCTCTCCAAGTGTCCCGCTGATATCCTCTTCCCAAACCTTCGATGTCTCCGAGGCCAAATACCGGGGTCGCTCATACCCAAAGTCTTGTCGCCTAGTCTACGTCATCTTCAAATCTGCACGCTGGAGGCCGGGCGCGGGGACATATGGTATAACCGCATCCCCACTGCGGCAGAATGCTGTCCGGAGCTTCGCTCTTTCGTGGTGGTGTGGGACAACGACTATCTCCTCATTGACAGTGTGGCCGATCGCTGTCGCTTGGTTCCACACTTCGTTTCGCAATGGGATCATCTCCAAAGCTACACAGGGCCGGCAGACGAGCAAATCCTTTACCACTTCAGTCGTCTTCCAGAGCTCGAAAGTTTGGCAGTATGGCTAGACTTGGAGCGCAGTGTCCGTCCAGCCGGTGCTACAACCGGTAACAGGCTTAGAAAGCTGCGCTCCCTCCGCTGCCTCACCAGCTCCTTGGAGCACATTGTCAAAGCACTCGAGATCCTCTTTGGCACCGAAGCCCCTCCTACATCTCAGTACACACGTCCGGCTCTACAACGTTTCTGCGCTCAGGGCTTTCATCTCAGGGAGTCTGTATCAGCGACTGTGAGCGCTATTGCGAACTATGTTGCACTCGACGCGCTTGAATCATTCAGAGTCCTTAACCACACATGTCCTCTCTTTGCAGACACTGCGTCGGTTTACGAACTTCTGCGTCCGCTATCCATGTTTCCAAGCCTCACGGATGTATACTTTCCCTACGTCACGCATCACCCAGTATCTTATGGCCGCCTCACGGCCCCGCAGTTGCTGGACCTCGCCAGAGCCTGGCCCAATCTTCGCGAGCTTGAGGTCGCCCACCCCGGCGTCGAGTTTACTGTTCTCGAGGTTGCCGCGCTGCGAAGATATTGTCCTCAGCTACAGCGCGTGCCATCGGCGTCTATTCGCACGGATAAGCATGATCTTGCAGCGATAGCTGCCGATCCCGGAGTGCTGGAGCGTGCAGGATTGGCATAACCACTATTCGAGACTTGGCTGACCTTGGCGCGATGTTATGTATGCTCGTATACATCTACTCATTATCATAACTGACATTTCTGCTCAATGTTACACTCTTAGCCTCATTTCTCTTCGTTGTTCCTATACTACGAGTCTGTCTACAGCTGATTGAAAAGAGCAAGCCATGTTGCATCTCGTTGACGACTCATATCATGAAGCTTTGGGCCAGTTTTCGTTCGCTGTAGAGCACTGTATTAATTCCCTTTCCTGTTTTCGTTTCAAGTCCCGCACTGTCCGGTGTCTATCTGACCGACACCTGATGCAATGAAATCCAGTCTTTTCTACGACCTGAAGCCCACGAGGACTGCCACTTTCACACATGCGCCCACAACGACTCGTACCCTGAACCGTGGTTCTCCGGGATAAAAGCGCTTTGAAGCCGGCCAAAGCTTCTTCCTTAATTATTATGAAGGAGCAGGTCATGTGGACGCCATTCAGGGTCGCTTATGATCAGGACCACAGTACATTTCACGAAATTGGACCAAGAAAGCGTTCTACTAGAGCTAAACTGAATCTACTGCAACGCAAGTAGGTAGTATGCAGGTGAGCGTACAGTCCGCACGGGGATGACCAAGAGGCTGCTGGGCGGTCTGCCCAAGAGATGATGAAGAACGGAGAGGCGAGGCCTGTTTGATGGGAGCCGGATAGCAGGAGTGGAAGATGTGATTGAAGAAATAGTTTCAGTTAGCCGAATGAATGCCGAGAAGCTGGCGTTGACAGTTTGCGCACCGAACAGGAAGGCAATTCAGTCGACAAACACTTATAGAGTTTGCGCCGGCCGCTCAACGCGCTCATCCCATCCCTCCCTCTACCACCATGTCGAGTATTTTCAACTGGAAAGCGTCACTCCGGTGTGATCCAGACGTCGAGCCTTCTCCGGTGAGTCAACTCGTTCGCTTGTGGCTTTGCCAGTGCACTCAGCTCGCGCTATCTAGATCGAACGGGGGTTAGTCCTCCTGCTATGGCGCCTCTGGAGAGTGTGCCCCCAGAACGAGATAGCAGAGTGAGTGACTAGACGTCGAGCTGATATCCGTGTCTCATTCCATAGCAGAATACAAGAAACAGATATCAACTCGGCGGCCGTCAAGGTGCCAGAGTACCCGCAAATTCTCGTGACCAAAGAAGTGACGGTCACTTACGAAGAGGAGGCCTGAGAGGATTGTCAACCGTATACCCGGATACCCCAACTGTTCCAGTCATTCATTTAACCACTCCGACCAGCGTCACTCGTTCGCCAGATCTTGTTTACCTCACCTTCTTCAACACGGACTTGTTCATTGATATATTGCATTGTCTTTGTTTTCCGTACCGTAATTGGGCGTCATATGGCCAATGTAGATGGTCTTAGTGCTGCCGTTTCTTTATCTTTCTTTATCGAAGGGTGCCAGAGCGGACGTCAAGCCATTGAGCATCAACGGGTGGGCTCACCTAGAATTCAGGCTTCTTCGTGAAAGATTTCCTGCAATATGATGTACGAGGAGGGATGACCTCACTGCAATACGGTCATAATCAGCGCCGCGATTAGGAAAGTTGTATAAAAGCGTAGCCACGGCCATCGCGAAGGGTCAACTACAGCCGCTCAATCCCGTCGCATAATGCTCAAAGGCTCGCGTGCTGCACAGACCAAGCCATAATACTGACCATATAGAAGAAAAGTAAGACGACGAGAAGAGGTGGCGAAGGTGAAGGGATGGTATAACAAAAGAGACGTGGGACGATCTTGATAAAGATGGGGTATCTATAAAAGTAGCGAACCGAGCGACCTCTGCTCGATTACTCGCCGCGTTGGCTCGATGATGAGATTGCAGTGTCCAATGACGATCACAGAGGGCAACAGAGAGATGTCGGCAAAACATGTACACATTCAAAAATCTTATCCTCTGAATCCGCCGCAAGGCTCGCACTCGACAAACTTGATGAATTAGCATGCTCTATAAACAGTTTAGAATGAACAGACCTCGCCGCTCGCGGCTTGATTAACCCTAGCCTGAGTTCCCTGTCTTTTGAAGTCATTTTAATGGGCTGGCACAAGGCCAGCATGATCAGGTACTGAAGAGGAACTGGAGGGCCTGTGAACTGCCTTTCAGTGAATGTGCCCGAGAACTTGACCCATTGACACCATCCGAAGATAAGACGACTCTAGCCACGACTCACTTACGGTAGTTGCGTGCAGAGTGTACTCCGGACAACAAGCGCCAAGCAATTGCGCCAGGTGTCAATTATATAATCAACTTGAAGCGACCTTCGGCATGTCGCTGAACTCCGTCTCAAACCACGACCCCGCGCAGCGTCCTCCTGCCTTCCCCTGTTGCTTTCCACCCCGTCCTCTCGCTTGTACTCCTATCTCATGAAGGGAAGAGTATTACAGCTATTGCGTACTATACGTTGTGGGTACTAGGCGCGTTTCGGTGCTATAACCGGTTGACTCAAGTCGCAGCAACAGACCGCCCTCCGCCTAGCCCTCCATCTCAGACCGAGCCATGGCCCCGTATCAGCAAAACCGACATGCACCGGTGCCTCCGTTTGCCAGAGACACTTGGGCTCATCTTCGACTTCGTTGAGGACCGGAACACACTGGTATCTTTGACATGCGTGTGCACTCAGTTTGTAGAGATGGCCGCCGAGAGAATCCTTCGTCATCTGAGCAATATCTACGAGCTTCTGATGACTCTACCACGCAACCTGTGGGAGCTGAAGGTTCTCCACGACAAGAACACCAAGAAAAGTTATAACTACCTCCTGCCATGGGTTATTGTACGTGCCCGGTACATTGGTAAATGTCAGCTATGATTCGCGTTTACTTCCCTCTACCAGAGTATTGCTCGCGAAGTAACGTCAGAAGAATGGAAGATCTTGCTTGCCAAGGCCGCCAAAGTCAAAACCATTGGCGTACATACCAATAGGCTAGACTACCTAAGACGAACAACTTCAAGCGACCCCGACAATCAGGATCCTCGCGTATTCCGAGGGAGGATCCTCGTGCCGGATACGACAGCTGTGGAAGTGCTCTCGAAATGTCCCGCTACTTTGCTCTTCCCTGGCCTTCGGTCTCTTCGCGGCCAAATTCCGGTAGCTCTCGTACCCAGAGTCCTGTCACCTAGTCTATACCACCTTCATATCAGCGCACTGGAAACCGAGGAAATCTGGTATAACCGCATCCCTGTCATGGAAAACCCCTGTCCCGAGCTTCGCTCCTTCGTCTGGAAGGACGGCTCTCGCGTCTTTGGTGGCGTTGTTGATCGCCATCGCTTGGAACCACATTTCATACTACAATGGCATCATCTCCAAAGTTACACGGGTCCGGCGGACGAACAAATCCTTCATCATTTCAGCCGTCTTCCACAGCTTGACAGTCTGTCGCTCTGGCTACTCTGGGAACACAGCGCCCAATCACTTCGTCCGACCAGTGCCACAACCAAGATCAGACTTCAAAGTTTGTGCTCCCTCCGCTGCTTCACAAACTCCCTAGAGCACGTCGTCAAAGCGATCGAGATCCTTTTCGGCACTGAAGACTCTCCTACATTTCGGTGCACACGTCCGACTCTACAACACTTCTGCGCTCAAGGTCTTCATCTAAGAGAGTCTGTGTCAGCGACGGTGAGTGCCGTCGCAAACCACGTTTCACTCGACGCGCTTGAATCGTTCCGAGTCCTTAGCCACAAATATCCTCTCCTTGCGGACACCGCGTCTGTTTATGAGCTTCTGCGTCCGCTTTCCGCGTTCCCAAACCTCACGGACGTACATTTTCCCTATTTCACGCATCATCCAGTATCTTGTGGCCGCCTCACAGCCCCGCAGTTGCTGGACCTCGCCAGAGCCTGGCCCAATCTTCGCGAGCTTGAGGTCGCCCACCCCGGCGTCGAGTTTACTGTTCTCGAGGTTGCCGCGCTGCGAAGATATTGTCCTCAGCTACAGCGCGTGCCATCGGCGTCTATCCGCACGGATAAGCATGACCTTGCAGCGATAGCTGCAGATCCCGGGGTGCTGGAGCGTGCAGGGTTAGCGTGACCGTTATTCCAGACTTGGCCGACCATGGAGCGATGTTATGTATGCTCGTATACGTCTACTCATCATCATAGCTGATATTTCTGCTCAATGTTACACTCTTAGCCTCATTTCTCTTCGTTGTTCTTATATTACAAGTATGTCTACAGCTGATTGGGAAGACAACTTCACGGGCCAAAGTAGAACTTTCAATGGAGAATTTTGAACGATTCTGAGCCCACCGTAAGGAGCGTGTACAGAGGAAGCAGTTCACCTGACCACTCTCTACAGCCTCGTAAATGACGGACGTTCAGTAACATACAACAAGTTCGACACCTTGCGCAGGTGCTATCCTACAACGGGATATACCTCTTGCATACGGAAGTGTGCTTCCGTGCCCGCGATGGCGGATGACGTTGGCTGGATGGGGAACATGAACGGCGGGCGCTCGAGAAGCGAGAGCGAGTACCGCCCCGAGCTGTCGGTCCAGCGCTGGATGGGACGCAATTGTGCATCTGTAAATAGTTTCACTGTGTCTTTTTCGGAGAACTGTTTGGCACGGTGGTCAGCCGTTAGACACATGGAAACCGGAAAATAATATCACTACCTTCCGCGAAAACGCGATGCGGATAGTTTCACCCTTGAGGAACGACTGGGCAGGCTTGTCCGCCACGAGCTTGATCGAGTGGTCACGTTTGCACTGGCAGTACGATTCATGGCGATCTGTGGTGCGAAAATCCCTTTTAGCACCGTGCCGAAAAGAGGTAGAAGGGGAAAATAAAAGGAAAGGTGTCGAGTGTCGTAACGTAGCACACTAACGTTCCGCTTCATAGTATTGGTTCGCTAGCTCCCAGTCCTCCCTATTGAAGAGTTTCTCATCTCCCAAGACGCTCCCAGCCGCCTTGAGCCCATTCAGAATAAACTCGCGACAGTGACCGCCCGGGTCGTTGTACGCTAGCTCAATTTCCGCTTTATCGTTGTTGTGGTCCAGCCCAATAAGCAGCGTATCGCCCGAGCCTGGCCTAAGCGGGAACGAACGCAGAAACCCGGCGTCATCGCCGCGCTCGAAGTTGCCCAGAGTGGAGCCAAGGAACATCATATGCAACGGTGCCTGGTAGATGTCAGGCGTGAACACCGTCGCGTCCGTTCCTCGCGAGGGGCTGTGGCTACCTGAGGAGGACGAGCCTGACAAGACCGACGAATAGGTGCCAGGAGAGAGCTCGCGGTCGTGGAGGGCGTCCCCGTCTCTGACGTGGAAACGCTCGAGGTCGAGGCCCGCACCGGGCAGGTTCGTTGTGCGGAGGCCACCCTCATTGACGAACTCGATGCCGTTGTCGTACGTGCCGTGCATGCCTTTAAGATGGATCTTTCCAGAGACGCGTCTGCCTACTTCAGAATCGGATAGGTCGTTGAGAGTGCGTTCAAGCTCTCGCTTTTCGAGGTCGAGAGCATAGTACGTAATGGGTGGGGCTGAAGAGGAGGAAGGGACGAGTGCGGAGAGCGCCTCAAGAATATGGGAAGTTTTACGCAAGGCACTAGATGGCGTTGGAACATTGTACGGGATCAGTAACTGGACAATCTCGTCCCTCATCAACAGAGGTTTATAATGGCAATTGCCAAGGTCTGGAAGACTGGTCGATGGGCGACGCGAAGAGGCGTCGCCAACAGACGCCATGGTACACAATGGTACCGTTGAATAAATGGTAGGGGAATAACTTACCCAGCTCCAAGCTCCAGAACCGTCTCGCCGGGTACGACACTGCCAGGACCGACGTGCATAGCCCGTGCGATGTCCTCGGAGTGGCGTCGCAAGATCTCCTCTTCCGCTGCGAAGGGGTAGTATTCCGGTGCTTCCGTCGTGACGGCATCGTACAACTGCAGACCGCGCTCGTCATACAGCAGCATCGACGGTATCGCCTTCTGTCCCGCTGGGGCTGAGAGCCCCTCTATTGTTTGGTGCCTGAGCTCGCCGGTTGAGGACGCCTTCGAACGGACATCGATGATAGTTGATGTTAACGTTGCTACCATGACGCAGGACACCAGAAATTAATGGGCACGAAGTGGAGGTTACAAAGATCCCCCGAGGCAAGACCAGATGCAACAGATGCGACTTTGCTACCTCCACTTCTTATATGGACAGTCAGTATCGGAATGGCCCATCGTGCTCCAATATACTCACATCTAGGTACCGCTCTCAGCGCCTTGACGTTTTCGCGCGCCACCATCACAGCAATAGCACGAATGAATGTCAAGGGCATCTAAGGAGATCCGAGACATCGTATTGTCAATCCACTCCCTCCACACTCACCTTCCCATCTCTGATTCTGGGGCCCGAATATTGGCTAGACGTGCACCAGAGTTCTCAAGTGAAGGTGCTGGACACGACAAGCAGCATCACAATGACGTGCCGGCCGCGTAAGATGACGGAGGACGACAAAAAGAGGGTACCACTGACTAAAGTTATTATGAGTATCCGGTCACGTTAGATGGGCTGCGTTAGCACCATCGACGCGGACCATCTGATAGATGCGTACCTTGGCGTTTTACGAAGTTCGGAAGGCGCAATTAGAAGTTGATTGGAAGTCTATAACCAGTCAGTCGAGCCAACGTTTGAGCTTTTTGGATTCTGGGGACATAGTGGTGAGAAAAGGGTGCACGTTTACTCCGCAAACCGTGCGAAACGTGTTAGAGACGACGGTGAAGGTACATTTATCTCGCGTTTCATTCAAGAAAACAGGACTTGAATTAAATCAGCATACGTCTATAACCGAAAGCCTTTGCAAAACCCAAAATACTTAGGCCCCTACACATTCGCCTTGCCAAGGTTAATAGCCCCAGCATTAATAATCAGCGTGAACCAGGCGCCCTCCTTGCCCGCCTTCTCAGCCCGGGCAGAGGCAGGCAAGCCGGCAACAACACCCAAGCGTCCCGCGTTGCAGATGCTCTTGGCGCATAGTTGGATCTGAAAAACAGAAAAGGATCTCAAATTCAGTCAATCTACATTTTTAGCCGTTGATACGCACCGGAATCTCCATGCTGGACGACACGGTCGACAGGGCACCGCTGATGTAGCTGTGTGTGTGGACACCCATATTGGATATGATGATCATAGTGTGTAGAGCTTGACGTACCCGAAAACGCTCTCGGCAGCACGACGCTCGGGACGCTCAGCACCTCTCAGAAACGCGGGGCGGAAGACGATGGTCTCCTTGTAGCCGAGCGCGGCGAGCTCGAGCTCGGTGAGGCCTTTGTTCTTGCAATGCGCCATTCAGCTCGGTCGCGAGTGGTAGGAGAAGAGCAAGGGGAAAACGTACTTGACATAGAGGAAATAGAGGTCGCGTTCCCGCCTGCGGACTATGCGCGTGCACTTCCGAGGGCTCAAGCTTCTCCTTCCCCACATACGCCTTGACAGCCTCGGCGAGCGTGACGCGGCGCCTGTACTCGCCGACGCGCGCGAACTCGGGCGACGCGAGTACATCGCGCAGGAGGTGTTTTTCTGTGGTGCCAGTCGCGTCGAGGACGAGTGCGGATCTTTTCCCTGTGATTGCTGCTTGTGCTCGTGTTAGTGAGAGAGAAGGTTCATATTTGGCGGCTGACCAGACATGATGAGTTGAGTTAGCGTTGATTTGTTGGAGGAAAGGAGAGGGAGAAGTGTGAAGACATCATGAGCGATATAAGCAGTCCCAGTTGCGTATGTTTCCTTGGCGTCCCAAAGCTAAACTGCATTCATTGAAGACTTTGTTGACGAGATGCGGGCAGGTTGACGCTCAGACGCTCAAATAAGTATGAGGCACTTGTTCGAGGAACGCCAAAACTTGGTGCGTGAAGTTTGCGCGATGCGAAGCGATTAGCAGGCGTGGAAGATGTGATCGAAGAAATAGTTTTAGTTAGCCGAGTGAATGTCGAGAAGCTGGCGTTGACAGGTTTGCGCACCGAACAGGAAGGCAATTCAGTCAACAAACATATAAGCTCACGCCGGCCGCTCAACACGTTCATCCCATCCCTCCCTCTACCACCATGTCGAGCATTTTCAACTTTAACTGGAAAGCGTCACTCCGGTGCGATCCAGACGTCGAGCCTTCTCCGGTGAGTCAACTCGTTCGCCTGTCTGTGGCTTTGCCAGTGCACTCAGCTCGCGCTGTCTAGATCGAACGGGATTTAGTCCTCCTGCTGTGGCGTCTCTGGAGAGTGTGCCCCCAGAACGAGAGAGCAGAGTGAGTGACTAGACGTCGAGCTGATATCCGTGTCTCATTCCGCAGCAGAATACAAGAAACGAACATCAACTCGGCGGCCGTCAGAGTACCAGAGTACCCGCAAATTTTCGTGACCAAAGAAGTGACGGTCACGTACGAAGAGGAGGCCTGAGAGGATTGTCAACCGTATACCCGGATACCCCAACTGTTCCAGTCATTCATTTAACCACTCCGACCAGCGTCACTCGTTCGCCAGATCTTGTTTACCTCACCTTCTTGAACACGGACTTGTTCATTGATGTATTGCGTTGTCTTTGCTTTCCGTACCGTAATCGGACGTCATTTGACTAATACAGGTGGTCTCAGTGTCGATGTTTCTTCTGTCAAGGGATAAGTGGGATAAGTAGACGTCGAGCCACACTACGAGAGCATCAATAGGTGGGCTCACCTAGAATCCCGAGTTCCACCCCCTGATTATGGTGTACGAGGGGCGATATTCGACCTGCATTACGGTCGTAATCAGCGCAGCGAATCGGATAGATGAAGGCTGAGACGGTGTAAGAAGAGGGACGCTGGTTGATCTTGATAACGACGGGGTATCTATAAAAGTAGCGAACCCCGGCAGTGACCTCTGCTCAATTACTTAACTGGGCGCGAACATGGTAACGGCCACTTGTAGGGTGCTGCACGCATTCCGCATGAACGGTCAGATTTGACTGAATCTGAACATGCATACGGTGTCGACGAGGGCCGTTTATAGTCTTCGAAGCTAGCAATGTCGGAAAAAGCTGGGGAGGGTTTATAATGGGCTGTCTTAATCAAGCGCTTAGTTATGACCCGGAGCTCGCTTAAAATGGCCATTATTAGGCACGGCCTTTATTTTTATCCCACCAGAGTGATGATCATAGTCTCGGCTCGCTTAGAATGCTTTAGATTCCCACCAGAGCGATTCTTATCCGATTGTCATGCACGTGACCTGCTCATCATCATGCGCATTCCCAACGCGCCATATACACGCTTGTCCTCGTCCAGAGCTATTCCTTCCTTCTCCCCTCCCCGGTACTCTCTCTCCCGATCTTCTGTCCTCTGGCATGGCCCCCGCCCCCTCTTCCGCAGTAACCAAGAAGAAGAAGCAAAACAATCACCTCCGACGCCCCCGACAAAACGTCCCACTCAGCTCTTCGGCCTCCTTGTCAAGGGTTCGTCTTGGTTCGCAAGCACCACTGAGTTCAGCATCGGTACCTCTCGATGAATCCGACCAACCACTTAGCTCGGCCTCAAGAGCAGATCTGGAGCAGATCCAGTGCGTAATCTGCTCACGCACATTTACAACATTGGGTAGCTGTGCAACACACGAGAAAGCGTGTTTGAGGAACACTCACCTGGAGCAAGCGAGGGTTTCGTATGCACGAAAGCTCATTACGAGCACGAAGCATGGTGCGTCGCAATACGCTCTGACAGACTTGACTTTTATTAATACATCTGCTGTGTTGCCTCAGCTCGGATGAGAGCCCTTGTCGACTTCGAGACCATGCCACCGTCCATCTCCGCTGCCCTCACTCCCCCGCCCGTGTTTACGAGTAAGTCAGTCGTCTTATCTTTACACTGCAAGCTAATTCGTTTAAGACGCCGACGCCGGCCCGTCTCGTCTCGAGAATCGTGTACCCCAGGATTTTACAGCCCCAAAGGGCTCCGGCTCGCCGCCTGCTGACGAGGATGCTAGCCTGGGCGCTGGGGACATGTCATTCACCGATGATTTCGTCCAGGAAGCTGAGCAGGTGCCGAGAGTCGATGAATTTGATCAAAGAATGCGTACGTATTGTCCTTCGAGATCCCCTCTTGAATGCTAACATTCCATCTGCAGGATCTAGCTCTCTCACGTCGAGCTATGACAGCGTCCCCGCATCCGGCCAGTCGATCCCAATCACGACCGGACGTCGTCCGTCAGATACTTCCCTTCCTGCATTCAAGACCGAATACCACCCGAAATCCGGCCGCCCCACCCGTTTCTATTCGTACGAAGAGTTCCGTCGCCCGGTCCAGCAGCAGGTCTTCGAAAAGGATGAACATCCTTGGAGACCGTTTCGCAGCCACGCTGACTACGAGCTGGCATCTATTGCGGTGGACGCGCAGATGTCGGATTCACTGGTGAGGCGGCTTCTCGAACTCGTGAAGGGCGTCAAAAGTGGACAAGCCAATGTCACCTTCGAGTCGGTCAAAAACGTTCGGGACGCATGCGACACGGCTACCAATACCTTCACTCCTGTAAGTCTGGCGTCATGTGTAGTGTAAAACGCTCTCTGTATTCGTGTAACCCTATATCGACAATTTCAAATGCTTCTTTTCAGTTCGAACTTCACGATGTTGTGATTAACTATAAAGGAGAAGACCTTCATCATGATTTCTACGGGCGGGATATGTTCGACTGGGCCCTAGATTTACTCGAAAACGAGGCCCTCGCGCCTCACTTCGTCTGGGACGCTCAACGACACTACAAATACAATGGATCCGAATATGTACGCTTCATCGACGAACCATGGTCAGCAGACCGCTGGTGGGCCATCCAGGTGGGTCATCTAGTCGCGAACCCTTCGGACCTGACATTAGCATCCTAATTACTCTTTATAACCAGGAAGATCTCCCCAAACTCGGCGACCATCCGGCCGCACCGCTCGCCTTTGTCTTGTACGCTGACAAGACAAGGTTATCGAGCGCTGGGAACGTACAGGGTTACCCTGTCGTTGCGAGGTGTGCAAACTTGCCGGCGGACATTCGCAATGGGAAAGGGTCTGGTGGTGGATATGTAGTCGGATGGCTTCCGATTGTGAGATCATCTCATCTTATTCTACATATCGTATTCTAACACGCTTGATCGTCCTCTCTAGGTGGAAGACAACTCTGAAGAAGACGGGACGCTCGCATATACAACACTGAAACGAGTGTTATGGCACGACTCGGTGCGGAAGCTGTTCGAAAACGCCCAAGATAGTTCCAAAAACGGCTTCTTCTACGAGAAGTGTCACGACGGAATCCCTCGATGGCTTTACTTCACTATTCTCATTCTGTCCGCTGATTACGAGGAGCAGTAAGTCCTTATTCTATGCTCAAGCCATGCCTGACTCTATATTCGCAGAACTACCATGGTACTTAATCGTGGTGCGGGTGGAAACCATCCTTGTCCAGTGTGTCTCGTGCCCAAGAAGCAGCAGCACGACCTATCCCAACACTTCCCTCGACGCTCGGAGGCAGAAACCCAAGCGGTAGTGGTCCAGTATAATCAGCCTAACATAGACCCAGCCGAAAAACGGCGACTAGGAGCCCGCCTCGACGAGCTGAGCATCCATCAGGAAAACAGCGGGCTCCTTATCAAGTACTTTTTAGTGCTTATCGCTTTTTCAGCGTTATTCAAGCACGAAATAAGGACAGTAAAAAAAAGAGCAAAACAGTAGGTCCTTCTGCTGTTTTGCATGCTGCTTTGCGCTTTTCTGCGCTTTTTCTTACTTGTGGTCGTTTGGGCAGATCAATCAATTTGTATTAGCTAGCGAGAAGCAAGCATACAGTGCGTATAAGTACCGAAAAAGTGAAAAGAAGGGATTAAAAGAAATTGAGACCGTATGAAATGCACGCTGTCAAGCAGATAATAAGATCATAAAAGGAGAATACGAATACGAAATTGAGCGGGGGCGATAACGAAAACGGCGTAGAAATGGATGAGAGCGCGAGAGCCGAACAATAACCAGCAGAGAAACGAGGGATTACGAACCGGGGGACGAGCGAGAATCAGCTGTCATGATGTCGCAGACATGATCGTGAGTGGCGAACGTGATCCTAGGATAACAAGCAGTTAGT